ATCTGGACTGGACCCCGGTGGAGCGGACTGCTCTGGCTCCGGAGTGGAGCCGCTGACCGGATCTGGACTGGACCCCGGTGGAGCGGACTGCTCTGGCTCCGGAGTGGAGCAGCTGACCAGAGCTGGATCAGGAACCGGTGGAGCGGACTGCTCTGGCTCCGGAGTGGAGCCGCTGACCGGAGCTGGACTGGACCCCGGTGAAGCGGATTGCTCTGGCTCCGGAGTGGAGCAGCTGACCGGAGCTGAACTGGGCACCGGTGGAGCGGACTGCTCTGGCTCCGGAGTAGAACGGCATGGGCCGTGCCGGACTGGACACACGCACCACTGGCTTGGTGCGAGGAGCAGGAACAGACCGGGCTGGCGACGCGCACCACTGGCTTGGTGCGAGGGCCAGGAACAGGCCGGACCGGGTTGGCGACGCGCACCACTGGCTTGGTGCGAGGGGCAGGAACAGGCTGGGCTGGGCTGGCGACGCGCAGCACTAGGTTGGTGCGAGGGGCAGGAACAGGCCGGACCGGGCTGGCGACGCGCACCACTGGCTTGGTGCGAGGGGCAGGAACAGGCTGGGCCGGGCTGGCGACGCGCACCACTATCTTGGTGCCGATTCTGGTAGGACCGATATCAGTGTATTCTGTGGAGTCCCAAACACCAAGGCATTAACATTACAGGGAATTGGGAGAGCGGAATGGAATGTGACTGGAGCGGAGAACTGTGTGGCTCATAAATGAAGGAAGGGGGTATTAGAGTCTCTGGGGAATGATACCACTCCTCTGTGTATAGTGATATCAGGGGATAGCGTAAGAGAGGAAGGACTCCTAACTGTGCACAATATAGAGACTACTATGAAGTCAAACTGAACGTCACACCTACCCAGATCATGGTGAGAGTAGCAGAGACAGTATTGTCATTTCAGACACTATTGTCAACTTTCAATGGGGGGTTCGTCAAAGAAGGTACAACGCTTGAAAGAATAGCCGCAGATCCCTGTATACAGGAGGCCACATCACCGGAAGGGAAGTTTGCGGTAGTAGTAGCATCACATCTCCTACAGAGTGTGATTAAGAAACATGTACTCAGAGTTTTGTACGGTTGGATACTCTTCCAACGCCACTAATATCTCCCCCATTCATAACAGCCAGCAAACACCTGACATATCTCCCAGAAGATTGGGATCGAGTGACGGTAAACGGAAAGTGTCAGAATGTGGCTGCGTATCAACCGTTGGGACCCAAAGTTTACACTGTAATGAGGGTGTTCACAAAGGGATGGAGTGAATAGGTCGTGGCTCAGGGGGTTGATGTCCTTAATGATCTTTTTGGCCTTCCTGTGACATAGGGTGCTGTAGGTGTCCTGGAGGGCAGGCAGTGTGCCCCCGGTGATACGCTGGGCAGACCGCACCACCCTCTGGAGAGACCTGCGGTTGTGGGCGGTGCAGTTGCCGTACCAGGCAGTGATACAGCCCGATAGGATGCTCTCAATTGTGCATCTGTAAAGGTTTCTGAGGTAGGGAGTATCTGAAAGATGCAGTCCTAGATCTATCAGTGAACCACAAAGGCAATAGGAGAGCAGGAGACAGATTCAATGCAATAGCTATTCTCATAGCAGTCGCTGTAGGGACAGTAACTGAAGGAGCAGTAGTAGTGGTGAAGGATGCTATAGTAACAGCATGGAACTGGACTATAGTGCAAATTAGGAGTATTTTGAAGTATGCATCATGGCCAGTGTTAGTAGTAGCATTGTTGGGATATCATCTTCTGAGGGCATTGATGTTGGAACGTATATACAGTGCTGAGTTACTTCAAGATGAGGTAAAGTTGATTAGGGCCACCGCACGTGTATATCGGGTGGCCATGGAGGGAGAAGGAGACATGGCATGGGAACACCTCTTGGAACCTGTGGCCTGATGGGGAAGAGTGGGTGAAAGCATGAGGAGGTTGTTTAGGGCCTTCATTTTTGTGGAACCGAGCAGAAAATTATCCCGAAGGCATAGAGTCAGGCAAAGAGAGAGCGGGAATCGTCATGTTATCAAACTTCGGTTTGTCTTTGCATGTATAATTATGCATAGCTTAACACATTATTAATACTTGTTATGTTGTGTTTCTTTTTGCTTTTCAAGTCTTGTGCTATCACTCTCTTAGGAACCAGAAGGAGGAAATGGAGAAATTAAAAAGCTCCAGCTGAAATGTAATTATCAGTTGTCAGACGAGAGAGGGTAAGAAGAGTGTGCATAGTGTAATTATAGATCAGAGACCATAAGTCTCTGAGGTGTAAATATACGAATCAACTGTGAATGTTAATCACGTTTTATTTTTTGTTAATATGTTATTTCTTGTTCATTTACAAGTAATTTCAAAGTTTATGTGATGTAGAACAGTATGGAATTACTATTCAAATAGGAGGGACTGTTGGGTTGTAATTTGAAATACTTGCTACACCAGAAGTTACAAGTAATTTCAAAGAGAAGGAACAGTTTATTACCCACATCACTTTACTTCCTGCCTAGCAACAAATATATAGTGTTTAGAGAAAAGGAGGAGACTCCGCCTAAAGGGGGTGGTATAAATACTTGTCTTTTCAGCTGTTGGACATAGTTGGTGAATAAACTTGGTTTGAGCTTATCCTAGTTGTCCGTTAGGTTCTAAATAAACAGAGTAAAAACTAACAATAGTCACTTTACCTCTACCTACATGTACAAATTACCTCGACAAACCTGTACCCCTGCACATTGAGTCGGTACTGGTACCCCCTGTATATAGCCTAGTTATTTTTATGTACTTTTATTGTGTTACTTTTATTTTATTTTTTACTTTAGTTTATTTAGTAAATATTTTCTTAACTCTATTTCTTGAACTGCATTGTTGGTTAAGGGCTTGTAAGTAAGCATTTCACGGTAAGGTGAAACACCTGCTGTATTCGGCGCATGTGACAAATAAAATTGATTTGATTTTATACAGGTTGGAGAGACCCTGCCCTACCTCTTGAGGCAAGTCTACATCTCAATGGTGCAGACAAACTGTAAGTAGTCAAGATCCAGAGGAAGGTGTTGCATGGCCTGCTGCAATCTGTACAGGAGCTTGTCCATAATGTGCCTCCCCATCGCCTGTGAGGACATATACAAATTGTAATTTGAAATTATGTCAACCAACCAGCTGGTATCAGGCAAGATTGGGTTTAGGCTTCAGGCATTGTTATGGAAATATCTATTTAGGGTTGTCACTGTTTTATCTCTCTCTCACTCACACTCACAAATCTTTCACTACGGCTGGCAGTGGCTAGCTGTGACGTTACATGCATGCAGTGTTGCGATTCATTCCATTTGGCTACCTAGTCTGATACCAAAGCCAGCCAACTAAGCTAATGTACTTCAAAATTGTCAGTCACGGGTCAATAATGTACAGATATTAGAAGCGTGTCTATCTAATACATTTAATGACAAACCATGTAAGTACTTAGGTAAACATATGAATTACCTGTTGCCCAAAGTTCGGCGCAGGTGTTGGTAACTGGTCAGCCATGTTCAGAACATGGGGCCACTGGGGAAAGAGTTGGCGTGTAGTGGTGATGTCAGATCGTCTGGTTAAGTAGCCAATAGAAAACAATCCTGTATATTATATTAATTGATTGGATTAACATGAACCGTCACTCCAAAACTAGTGGACCAATGGAGACTCATTGTCTACGCCTCCCTCTAAACCTCTCCGTTCACGAAGAAAAAAAGGCAAAACTCGCAATCGAAAATACTGTCAGTGAAAGCAAAAAAAACAGACATTTAAAGCAAAGAAATGAGTAGCATAACCAAAAGGTAGTAAATGCAGGCAGATTGGTTGTTGGAAAAGTTTAACTGAAAAATATTTTTGCATTCTTTTTCAAATATATATTTTTAATCAGTTGTCATATAGTTTTGCTCTCGCTTTAAAATGATTTGCTTGCAAGTTTTGGGGTTTTGCTTTTGATGTCATTATTTTTGTTTACAATTCTATAAATATTGCTTTCAATTGTTTGGTTTTTGATTTCAACATCCTCGAAAATATAATGTTGACATTTTCTACTTAATTTTTCATGTTTATGATTTATTTAAATTAAATTCAATACATATGGCGTGAAATCGGCCCCATAGAAAAGCCTTTATGCACAAATATTGATATAATAACCATCATATCAAGGTTAACTTCAGGGTGGTGAAAGTGCATGGTGATATTGATGATCCTTTCCAATAAATATTGAGGGTCTGATTCTGGTGACATGATGATCGATGCTTGACTGCCGTTTGACAAATAAAAATATTATTGCTCTTATCCATAATAATCTAATCATGTAGACAGCCTACACACACTGTATCTGCGAGCTGTTGGCTAGAGCGCACGTCCCAAGACCAGAGAAGGCACATTTGCTATTTAACGCAACTGTTTTTGTGACAAAACTATCAGTGGAGTTGAAAATGCAATGGAAACCCGTTGAACTTTAGAGTTTTATTTTTGATATTCGCATGAAAATCTGTCGCCAATCGGATGGAAGCCGGAGGCGCGTTTCATAGAAACAGCAGAAGTTGCTGTTTGCTGTCGGTGCATATATATACAGTGAGGAAAAGGGATACATGGGCCAAAATCTGTCTTCTCCAGCAGGTGGCGATCTTTCGTTTTTTTCACTCACCAAGGGAGGTCAATGAGAGGGTGTCAAATTTGGTTAACAATAAATGTAATGGCTTATTTGCTACGTGCGGCTTTTGATCGAAAATAAGTTCCTTAATGCTTAGGATGTTTCGAGTGTACTGATATAAGTAGGACACGTGACATCCCGACAACTTTGAGAAAAAACACTTTATAAGGAGTTGTGCCTGTTTTCGCATTCGTATCTGCCCTCTCATTGGCTAGAATGGTCCCACCTGAGCTTGCCTCCTCCCGACTGCCCTCCATGTTTGAAGACATTTGTTTTCATTGTTAGACTGGCCAATATAATGTATAATCTGTGATATGTACCTCCCCCGATTTTACTCGTCGATTTCCGTCTACAGTCGGCTACTTTCGGTTTACCTAAAACGCGCCCAGTGCAAGTGTGATGTATTGGAGAAGCAGTTTCTGTATCGTCCACGCTTTTCGGAATCCTTGGGACGTCCAAACTCTGACGTTACACCATTAAAGTTGACATTTTCAATGGTTATGAAACTTCTTATTATAGATCAATGTTAAGGTAAGGGTTAGGTAAGGATAATGGTTAAGGTCAGGGTAGGGGGTAGGGTTTAGGGTTTAGGATTTCCCAAGGATTCCGAACAGCACTGTCTTTGGCTTCACTTTCACTTTACCAGAAATCATGTGAGTACGTCACGGATAATTCAATATTGAAAGTATAAGTCAAAGGACACCGACAATTTGCAGTTTTTGACGTCCAACTCATCAAACCCACAGTCATTGCATCCAACTCTCATCTAAACCCAGTGACTGTTTCTCATGGCTAGTCTGATCTTGGCAGCGTGATAAAGTTATTCAACAGCAGCAGGTGAGTTGATACTCATAATTTTCATGCCTCCACTCGTGGCCTATGACTTGGCACTAGGACAAACGTATTTTCATGATTTCACTTGTATCATCAAAATCAATACATTGTAGCACGTTTTTTGGGCTCATTCAGTAGTTATTACCCATATAAGTAGATTCATGTTGAAAAATAATGTTAAAATAACATTTTATATTCCTAAAACATACGTTGAAAATGATACTGTTTCTGCTTCCTGATGTTATGGATTTTTGATTTATAGCCCAGTGTCAAAACACCGGTTTTAGATGTCCAAATTCATAATCAATATGCTGAAATAAGTCGTGATATGTTGAAGAAAATACATACAAATTACTCCCTACACACACTAGTCACACTTGTGTTCAGATAACTTGTATTTTGCTAAATTAGTAGGCCTACCTTTTGCTAAATTAGTAGGCCTACCTTTTGCTAAATTAGTAGGCCTACCTTTTGCTAAATTAGTAGGCCTACCTTTTGCTAAATTAGTAGGCCTACCTTTTGCTAAATTAGTAGGCCTACCTTTTGCTAAATTAGTAGGCCTACCTTTTGCTAAATTAGTAGGCCTACCTTTTGCTAAATTAGTAGGTCTACCTTTTGCTAAATTAGTAGGCCTACCTTATACAGTAAACTGCTCACCCACCAATATTTACCAAGTGGTCACTCTAGACTGACATTTTGCTTGTTCTACTGAAATCAATAGATTGGGCAAATTAATCACTGACTTTGTTATTATTCTTTAGCCCGCTATAGACCTTAAACAATTTAAGCTATTAACACAGACCAACTTCTAAATGTCCAGACTACCCCAAATTGGATTGCTTGAGAAAATATTTTTGATAGCATTTAAGCTTTTTGAACTATACCCATATTTAAATGAGCTCTCAATGCATTTCAATGTCAAAAAAAGGCCCATAGACTTGAATGGTAAAAAAAGAAGCAATTCTAGACCTATCTCCTCCTACATCGTTTAAGCTATCAACACCAGACCAACGTTGAGATGTTCAGACTGGCCCAACTTAGATTGCTTGTCAAAGTAGATTTGATACTATGTATACTTTTGGAACTATATCCATCTACATTTGCATAAACTAACATGGGTTTGAATGAGATCCATACGAATACAGTGGTAGCTATTCAAAATGGTCCTGCTCAAATCAAATCAAATGTTATTTGCCACATGCGCCGAATACAACAGGTGTAGACCTTACAGTGAAATGTTTACTTACAAGCCCTTAACCAACAATGCAGTTTTAAGAAAAAAAGTGTTAAGTAAAAAATTGATAAGTTAAAAATAACAAATAATTAAAGAGCACCAGTAAAATAAAATAACAGTAGGGAGGCTATATACAGGGGATACCGGTACAGAGTCAATGTGCGGGGGCACCGGTTAGCCGAGGTAATTTAGGTAATATGTACATGTGGGTAGAGTTAAAGTAACTATGCATAGATAATAAACAGAGTAGCAGCAACGTAAAAAGAGGGGGTGAGGTGGGGGGGGGGGGGGGGGGGGGGACATTGCAAATAGTCTGGGTAGCCATTTGATTAGCTGTTCAGGAGTCTTATGGCTTGGGGGTAGAAGCTGTTAAGAAGCCTTTTGGACCTAGAATTTGCACTCCGGTACCGCTTGCCGTGCAGTAGCAAAGAGAACAGTCTATGACTAGGGTGGCTGGAGTCTTTGACAATTTTTAGGGCCTTCCTCTGACACCGCCTGATGTAGAGGTCCTGGATGGCAGGAAGCTTGGCCCCAGTGATGTACTGGGCTGTATGCACTACCCTCTGTAGTGTCTTGCGGTCGGAGGCCGAACAGTTGCCATACCAGGCGGTGATGCAACCAGTCAGGATGCTCTCGATGGTGCAGCTGTATAACTTTCTGAGGATCTGAGGACACATGCCAAATCTTTTCTGTCTCCTTTTCAGTCTCCTTAGGCTTTGTCGTGCCCTCTTCACGACTGTCTTGGTATGTTTGGACCATGATAGTTTGTTGGTGATGTGGACACCAAGGAACTTGAAGCTCTCAACCTGTTCCACTACAGCCCTGCTCCTTGGTTAGTTAAGCTACAAGACCAACCTTTTTTTTTTACCCCGAAACACGACTCTGCCAAGCCGCACTGCTTCTTGACACACTTCTCGCTTAACCCGGAAGCCAGCCACACTAATGTGTCGGAGGAAACGCTGTACAACTGGCGACCGTGTCAGCGTGCATGCGCCCAGCCCGCCACAGGAGTCACTAGAGCGCAATGGGACAAGGACATCCCGGCCGGCCAAACCCTCCACTAACCCGGACGATGCTGGGCCAATTGTGCGTCGCCTCATGGGTCTCCCGGTCGCGGCCAGCTGCAACACAGACTGAGATCTAACCCAGATTTGTAGTGACGCCTCAAGCACTGCGATGCAGTGCCTTAGACTGCTGCGCCACTCGGGAGGCCAAAGACCAACTTTAAAACATTCATGCTGTTCTTACTTCAAATTCTCTTAAACCAAATTCTCTAAAACTATTTAAATTGGCATAAAATAATTCACCAACAGTAACTCTTTAACCTTTCAAGCTAGAGACACCAAACCAACTTTCTCATGTTCAGGCTATCCTAACTTCAAATTGTTAACTTTTATCAACTATAACTATATAAATTAGGATAAGATAACACAGTAACTCTTGAACCGTTCAAGCTAAAGACACCAAACCAACTTTTGCATGTTCAGGCTATTATCCAATCTATCAGCCAATCAATCAACACATTTTTACACCTATATACTTTTTCAAGTATAACCAGTCCCTACCATTACTACTGCAGTCACTATACCACTACTAAAACCTATTTCAAAACCATAAATACTTTTTAAAAAGCTAGCAAGCACACCACATCTTCTTCAGGAAATGTACTTTTCTAGTTTGTATTGAAATCAATGAAACTGGGACAATAACTGCAGAGACATGTACCGTTTGAGCTCTTCTAACAGACAAACCTCAAAGAACTTGAGTATAGTACATATACCAGTCGATAAATGAGAGCCTGTAGTAGTCATTTATTAACTCATATCTCTGTGAGAAAATGTTTACGGCAGACAGCCAATACAAAGAAGGTAACACAACACTTTTTTGACTGGATCATTTCAACTAATCACCACCTCACATCGGTTTCTAAATAGCGACGGGTTGGCTTTCATTTGAATGATAGCTTAATCCCAAAATCTGCGAATTCATGTGAGGCAAGAGACGTTTACATTTACATTTACGTCATTTAGCAGACGCTCTTATCCAGAGCGACTTACAAATTGGTGCATTCACCCTATAGCTAGTGGGATAACCACTTTACAATTTTTATTTATTTTTAATAGGGGGGGGGGGGGGGGGGGGGGGGGGGGGTAGAAGGATTACTTTATCCTATCCCAGGTATTCCTTAAAGAGGTGGGGTTTCAAATGTCTCCGGAAGGTGGTGAGTGACTCCGCTATCCTGGCGTCGTGAGGGAGCTTGTTCCACCATTGGGGTGCCAGAGCAGCGAACAGTTTTGACTGGGCTGAGCGGGAACTATGCTTCCGCAGAGGAAGGGGAGCCAGCAGGCCAGAGGTGGATGAACGCAATGCCCTCGTTTGGGTGTAGGGACTGATCAGAGCCTGAAGGTACGGAGGTGCCGTTCCCCTCACAGCTCCATAGGCAAGCACCATGGTCTTGTAACAGATGCGAGCTTCAACTGGAAGCCAGTGGAGTGTGCGGAGGAGCGGGGTGACGTGAGAGAACTTGGGAAGGTTGAACACCAGACGGGCTGCGGCATTCTGGATGAGTTGTAGGGGTTTAATGTAGGAGGAGCGCCCAAATTGTTTCTTGCCACCGTGGTCTGAAAATCACAGCTTTTTTCTAAGTCCCACTAAGGACAGGCGCATATGACAAAAACACTGGTACTAAACCAAATATATTTATATTTTTCAAGCAATCAAATTTGTAAGATCGTGACCGATATAAACTTTTCTACTAACACCACCAATCTGAGGTAAAAAGGATGTGTATTTCCTGTAATTCTTGTGTGGTGAAAACGTTAGTTTGTGTAATGTACTAATACGTTCTGTCTACTGTAGGGAATTTTGTGTATATAAAATGTCAAAATAATTCAATATAAGATGATAGTAAACAATGACATCAATTTCTTACTACTTTTACCATGGAGAGAGTTTAAAAATGCTCCTAACCACAATTGAACCGGGCGCTCTAGACTAGAGCTTCTGTGTGGCAGGCTGAATGTTTGACGTCTCTACGACTGTGTCTACTATACCTTGTCCCTATCATTGGATTCGTAAATTCAATATCCAGGCTTAGCTTACTCAATATTTTGCAACATGAAAATGTTGCAGATAAATTGTATATTGTAGGCTACTTCACAATGCATTTTTTTGTTGTTGTAAGTGTTGTAACGTTGTGCCCAGACTAGTAAACATACCTGCATTAATGTGTTGTTACCATAATGACAGGTCATAGCAGAGTGGATCAAATCCTATTTCCCTACAGCAGCATCAGTGTGAAAGTACAAGTATGAGTCAGGTAACTACAATTACATTATACAATAACATTAAGCAGCTGTGTCAACCTGTGACCAATGCTTTGGACTAATAAATAGCATATCAATGTCTTCCTCCTAGGCAAGGACAAAGAGTTTGGAAGAGCAAATCAGGGGCCTCTCACCAGTTGCAGCACATGCCCTGGCAAGTAAGTTAACATGAAACATTTCACTGAGCTTTATGCAATGTGTTGTTAGTCTTTGTCAACTGTGTTCCTAATTACATCATATTTGTTTTTAGGTGCTGAAATTACAGATGACATTGAAATTCAAGAGTTAACAAGAGAAGATCTGACCGAACTTCTGCCAGGTGTTCAGCATTTTAAACTTAGAAAGAAGATCAGTGAACTTCTAACCAAATCTAAACAGGTTGGTATAGCCCCAAAAGCTTCTATAGCTACTGTACCACTATTCTGGAATCATTCATTAGTTAATAGAATGATGATGTTTGATTCAATGTGCAATTCCATTGGATGTACTAATCCCCCATTTTCTGTAATATTTCTGTTTCTTAGGACACAGCTACACCTATTGCTTTAGTTCTTAACGAGCTGAGGGAATTCCTTCCGGTTGATGTCATGGAGAGTAAGTCACGTTTCAAAACAATTCAGCATAGCACTCACCCAATACAGTTTTGGTGTATCTTTGGTTTAATACAGTTTTGGTGTATCTTTTGTTGTTATTGTATGCACTGGTCACTTTCTCCTTACAGATGCACTTGTTCCTGGGGGAGTGTTACATGGCTACTTCCCTATTCTTAGAGATTTGGAGAAGCAGCTGGCCATAGCCCTGAACTTCATTCAGGAACACATTAGAATGCTCGAGAGCTACATTGGAGAACAGTCCATGGAGGCTCAGAGCAGTGCTGAGTCCCCATTAGTTGACTCTGCTACAGCAGGAAACCAGCCTTCAAATGTTGCAGGTAAATGACATAACTGCTGTGTTAGTTGCAGCATAGTGGGTCTCATCCATCCCTCATCCTTCATTAATCAAAAGACGGTAGATGATGGTATACAAATCATAAACACTGTAGTAGATTTCATGGATAGTATAGTTTTGTTGAGAAGGTAAACATTCACAAGGCCTAGGTTGGCTTCAACTAGTGGGACTTTAATGGCGCGCGAACACAGTCTTGTCTTAGCCTGAAAGAACCCCATTCTTCAATACTTTTTTAGTCCAGAAAACATGGCACCTCAGGACCACCAGGTAACTCAACCTTTAACAGGGCACATTATTATAAAAATGTAAGAATTCTATAGATGTTATTAAACTCGTTTACAGCTGGCCAAGCTAACCACAATGACTTGCACAGACTCACAAGAATGTGCTGCAATACTGTTGGAATTTAATTCCTAGTATTTTATGTGGTCCTCAGCCTTATGTGCTGCTGACACCCAGCCCAAACGAGTGTCACTTACAGTGGCTTGCGAAAGTATTCACCCCCCTTGGCATTTTTCCTATTTTGTTGTCTTACAACCTGGAATGAAAATGTATTTTTGGGGGGTTTGTATCATTTGATTTACACAAAATGCCTACCACTTTGAAGATGCAAAATATTTTTTCTTGTGAAACAAACAAGAAATAAGACAAAAAAACAGAACTTGAGCGTGCATAACTATTCACTCCCCCAAAATCAATACTTTGTAGAGCCACCTTTTGCACGAATTACAGCTTGAAGTCTCTTGGGGTATGTCTCTATAAGCTTGGCACATCTAGCCACTGGGATTTTTGCCCATTCTTCAAGGCAAAGCTGCTCCAGCTCCTTCAAGTTGAATGGGTTCCGCTGGTGTACAGCAATCTTTAAGTCATACCACAGATTTTCAATTGGATTGAGGTCTGGGCTTTGACTAGGCCATTCCAAGACATTTAAATGTTTCCCCTTAAACCACTCAAGTGTTGCTTTAGCAGTATGCTTAGGGTCATTGTCCTGCTGGAAGGTGAACCTCCGTCCCAGTCTCAAATCTCTGGAAGACTGAAACAGGTTTCCCTCAAGAATTTCCCTGTATTTAGCGCCATCCATCATTCCTTCAATTCTGACCAGTTTCCCAGTCCCTGCCGATGAAAAACATCCCCACAGCATGATGCTGCCACCACCATGCTTCACTGTGGGGATGGTGTTCTCAGGGTGATGAGAGGTGTTAGGTTTGTGCCAGACATAGCGTTTTCCTTGATGGCCATAAAGCTCAATTTGAGTCTCATCTTACCAGAGTACCTTCTTCCATATGTTTGAGGAGTTTCCCACATGCCTTTTGGTGAACACCAAACGTGTTTGCTTATTTTTTTCTTTAAGCAATGGCTTTTTTCTGGCCACTCTTCCGTAAAGCCCTGCTCTGTGGAGTGTACGGCTTAAAGAGGTCCTATGGACAGATACTAAAATCTCCGCTGTGGAGCTTTGCAGCTCCTTCAGGGTTGTCTTTGGTCTCTTTGTTGCCTCTCTGATTAATGCCCTCCTTGCCTGGTCCATGAGTTTAGGTGGGCGGCCCTCTCTTGGCAGGTTTGTTGTGGTGCCATATTCTTTCAATTTCTTAATAATGGATTTAATGGTGCTCCGTGGGATGTTCAAAGTTTCTGATATTTTTTTATAACCCAACTCTGATCTGTACTTCTCCACAACTTTGTCCCTGACCTGTTTGGAGAGCTCCTTGGTCTTCATGGTGCCGCTTGCTTGGTGGTGCCCCTTGCTTAGTGGTGTTGCAGACTCTGGGGCCTTTCAGAACAAGTGTATATATACTGAGATCATGTGACAGATCATGTGACACTTAGATTGCACACAGGTGGACTATATTTAACTAATTATGTGACTTCTGAAGGTAATTGGTTGCACCAGATCTTATTTAGGGGCTTCATAGCAAAGGAGGTGAATACACATGCACACACCACTTTTCCGTTGTTTATTTTGTAGAATTTTTTTAAACCAGTTATTTTTTTCATTTCGCTTCACCAATTTGGACTATTTTGTGTAGGACCATTACATGAAATCCAAATAAAAATCCATTTAAATTACAGGTTGTAATGCAACAAAATAGGAAAAACGCCAAGGGGGGTGAATACTTTTGCAAGGCACTGTACCTCGTGGGCAGAACAGACAAACCTTCAAGGAAGCTCTGGATGAGACCTCAATATCATACTCTCATACTTCACATCCTTCAGGAGCAGCTGGTAACCTATGTAATATTTCAAACACTTCATTTCAAATCAAATGTTATTTGTCACATGCACAGAATACAGAAATGCTTACTTACAAGCCCTTATCCAACAATGCAGTTAAGAAAAATAAGAGTTAAGAAAATATTTACTAAAAATTGACTTGCAAAGAAAAAGTCCAGTGTCTGTGTTCTTTTGCCCATCTTAATATTTTCTTTTTATTGGCCAGTCTGAGATATGGCTTTTTCTTTGCAACTCTGCCTAGGTCAGCATCCGGGAGTCGCCTCTTCACTGTTGACGTTGAGACTGGTGTTTTGCGGGTACTATTTAATGAAGCTGCCAGTTGAGGACCTGTGAGGCGCCTTTTTCTCAAACTAGACACTCTAATGTATTTGTCCTCTTGCTCAGTTGTGCACCGGGGCCTCCCATTCCTCTTTCAATTCTGGTTAGAGCCAGTTTGCGCTGTTCTGTGAAGGGAGTAGTACACAGCGCTGTACGAGATCTTCAGTTTCTTGGCAATTTCTCGCATGGAATAGCCTTCATTTCTCAGAACAAGAATAGACTTTCAAAAGAAAGTTATTTGTTTCTGGCCATGTTGAGCCTGTAATCGAACCCACAATTGCTGATGCTCCAGATACTCAACTAGTCTCAAGAAGGCCAGTTTTATTGCTTCTTTAATCAGTACAACCGTTTTCAGCTGTGCTAACATAATTGCAAAAGGGTTTTCTAATAATCAATTAGCCTTTTAAAATGATAAACTTGGATTAGCAAACACAACATGCCATTAAAACATAGGACTGATGGTTGCTGATAATGGGCCTCTGTACGCCTATGTAGCCCTATTTGGTAAAATACCAAGTCCATATTATGGCAAGAACAGCTCAAATAAGCAAAGAGAAACGACAGTCCATCATTACTTTAAAACATGAAGGCCAGTCAATACTGAACATTTCAAGAACTTTGAAAGTTTCTTCAAGTGCAGTCGCAAAAACCATCAAGCGCTATGATGAAACTGTCTCTCATAAACAGTGAGTAGCAGCAGCGTATAAAAAGGGGGGTGGGGGTATCAATGCAAATAGTCCAGGTAGCCATTTGATTAGCTGTTCAGCAGTCTTATGGCTTGGGGGTAGAAGCTGATAAAAAGCCTTTTGGACCTAGACTTGGCACTCCGGTACCGCTTGCCGTGTGGTACCAGAGAGAACAGTGAATGACTAGGGTGGCTGGAGTCTTTGGCAATTTTTAGGGCCTTCCTCTGACACCGCTTGGTATAGAGGTCCTGGGTGGCAGGAAGCTTGGCCCCAGTGATGTGCTGGACCGTACGCACTACCCTCTGTAGCGCCTTGCGGTCAGAGGCCGAGCAGTTGCCATACCAGGCGGTGATGCAACCAGTCAGGATGCTCTCGATGGTGCAGCTGTATAACTTTTTGAGTATCTGAGGACCCATGCCAAATCTTTTCAGTCTCCTGAGGGGGAATAGGTGTTTTTGTGCCCTCTTCACAACTGTCTTGGTGTGTTTGGACCATGATAGTTTGTTGGTGATATTGACACCAAGGAACTTGAAGCTCTCAACCTGCTCCACTACAGCCCTGTCGATGAGAATGGGGGCATGCTCGGCCCTCTTTTTCCTGTAGTCCACGATCATCTCCTTTGGCTGTTGGCTGTGTACCTGGTATTAAAATACTTTGCAAAAGTGTTTGATTAGAATGTACAGGTATGCTATGTGGTTCTCATCCTTAGGCTCTGACACCCAGTTACAAAGAGGAATAAGAGGTGCTCCTCAAAGTTCCACTGGTAGTGGGCCAACCAAGCCACGAGGCATACTAGAGAAATCACACTCTGCAAACCCTCCAGGTTTGAAACAGCCTTTTGCAACATCCTACACAGGTCAATATCAAAACCTAAAAACTGTTCAGTCGTAAGCTCCTTTAATGATATTTGGAATTGGACACAATTATTGTGTTGAGAAAGTGTGTGATTTAAATTCATACTTTCAGATATGAAGTCCTCATCTGTAGATTGTAGCTTCCAGCCCAAACAAAAAGAGGAAGGTTGGCTGAAGAGAATTGGTTTGCAAAATGAGAAACAACTAGGTGAGACTCTTAATGAATATGATACTCATCTTACCTCATAATAAAAAAAAAGATGTTTAATTATTATTATTGTTATTATATTATCTTGGGATTGTACAAAGTGTAAAGTAATTTTTTGTCTTGAACAGTTAAAGTCCATTCACGAGTCTGTGGAAAAACCCTGAACTATCACCTTGCACTCATGAAACAAGTGGATGATCTGGGAGTAGGACTTCAGCGAGAGGAGACCAGTGCAGAGGACTGCCAAGTCCTAATACTCTTCTGTCCTGTTACATCTCGTGTGGGAACAGACATTGATGCTGCCATGAGCCAAGTTCCAAGTAGGAAAGCCCTTTCAGATTACACAATGAAAGTAACTCAACAGGATGTATTGGTCCATGTTGTAGAATTACTTTTTATGTCTCTAATTAAAAATATATTTTTAAGTGGAAGTACTTTTCTAAAGCTTTGATTTTGTCTCTCAACAGGTAACAGATATGCCATTCTAGTGGTGATGCACCATACTTTTGATCCCAACTTTGTCACAAGCCAGAGATCTGCATCTAACTACAGAAACGTAGTGGGAAGTTCATGTTCTCTTTCATGACTCTGTGGGACTTCTGCATTGTCAAACAAATGCTAAAGCAGTGACTCTCATACATAAGGCCTTACAGAAATACAACAGCATTACTTACACACGTTAAGTGCCCCATGGTGGCAACACAAAGTAGTCTGAAGTCTAACGCGCAAACATGATTTAAAAACCTCAAATTCTATAACGTCCATTCAAGGCATTGGTCATTCATTCTAGTTCAAAATAAAGCAAATCACAATCTGTGTAGTGAACCAAATTAATGATTATGTTGATACTCAATCGGGTCTAAATTAGATGTCTCACTGTAGAACAGCTGCTATGAATGAATCTTTTTGAAGTGGCTGCCCTCCAAGCATGTCCTCAAACACTATGTGGGATGCCTCATATTTGTGAATTTCAGATTTTCCTTATTTTAGTATTAGAAGCACTTATTTTGTTGTTGGAGGTACTTTTAACAAATGCTTGTCTTTGTGACTACTCAATCATAAGAGATTGAAAAGTTGTACCTACAGTATCATTAATGATAATGTTTTGCTTACACATGTTCTGAATTATTTTCATAGATTAAGAGAAGGAAAGAAGTGTTCCATCAAATATTGAATAACTTAGTAAGAATGACATTGAGATGTTTTTTCCCCAAAACTCTTCTGATAACATACAGTAGTACATACAGTGCCTTCGGAAAGTATTCAGACCCCTTGACTTTTTCCACATTGTTACGTTACAGCCTTATTCTAAAATTGATTAAATAGTCCCCCCCAATTTACACACAATACCCCATAATGACAAAGCAAAAACACGTTTTTAGAAATGTTTGTAAATGTATTAAAAAATTAAAAATATTACATTTACATAAGTATTCAGAACCTTTACTCAGTACTTTGTTGAAGCACCTTTGGCAGCAATTACAGCCTGGAGTCTTCTTGGGTATGACGCTACAAGCTTGGCACACCTGTATTTGGAGAGTTTCTCCCATTCTTCTCTGCAATTCCTCTCAAGCTCTGTCAGGTTGGATGGGGTGCGTCGCTGCACAGCTATTTTGAGGTCTCTCCAGAGATGTTCGATCGGGTTCAAGTCCGGGCTCTGGCTGGGTCACTCAAGGACATTCAGAGACTTGTCCCGAAGCCACTCCTGCATTGTCTTGGCTGTTTGCTTAGGGTCGTTATCCTGTTGGAAGGTGAACCTTCGCCCCAGTCTGAGGTCCTGAGCAGGTTTTCAAGGATTTCGCTGTGCTTTGCACCGTTCATCTTTTCCCTCAATCCTGACTAGTCTCCCAGTCCCTGCAGCTGAAAAACATCCCCACAGCATGATGCTGCCACCGCCATGCTTCACCGTAGAGATGGTGCCAGGTTTCCTCCAGACGTGACACTTGGCATTCAGGCCAAAGAGTTCAATCTTGGTTTCATCAGACCCGAGAATCTTGTTTATCATGGTCTGAGAGTCCTTTAGGTGCCTTTTGGCAAACTTCAAGCCGCCTGTCATGTGGGCTGCCTTTTACTGAGGAGTGGCTTCCGTCTGGCCACTCTACCATAAAGGCCTGATTGGTGGAGTGCTGCAGAGATGGTTGTCCTTCTGGAAGGGTTCTAATTATGGCGTAATGTGTGCAGATTGATGAGGAAAATGTTTTATTTAATCCATTTTAGAATAAGGCTGTAACGTAACAAAATATGGAAAAGTCAAGGGGTCTGAATACTTTCCGAATGTGTCATTCATTCATGTTTCGTGAGGAATTTCTGTCTGCAGATGGACTAATAAAGTACAAATGTATTTAAAAGCTAAATAAATAATATGTAAGTTGCTCATAGTTGTTCTTATTTTCATAATTTTTTTTAAGTGTACACATGCAATGCAACATTGACTGGGACAAGAGTTGAATCAAATATTTAATATTTTCATATTTATCACAACCCTTGTATTAAGAATGCCATTGATTAGAAAATTTAAAAACCATGTTTTTCAAACTCTTCTGATATCAATATAAAGAGACATAGCGTCATTCATTTCTAAACATCCTAGAAATACTATAGGCACATTTGCATTTATTTCCACAATAAGTGATTTAGGATCACTTTCATCTTGCCTCAACTGTCTTTCCACCACAAAGTAAATGACAAAACATTAGTTAGTGTTTTTTTTTTTAAACGGATGCAAACCCTGCTGTTGTCACTCCCCCCTGATAATAAAGGACAACATACTCAACATGTCACAGGCCCATCAGGACACAGGAACAACACTGGTGCTAAAACACTCCATTTTGGTGCTACATGTCCAGAGTAAAGTAGATCAGTCAATGAGAACACGTTCTTATTTTCTCAGTCACTGGAAGTAAACCCATCTCCCATGATCCAACCACCTCCACCTCTCAGAAACAACGGATGTCTTGACACAGTGCCATCTCATTGATACATCTACTATGATATTTCAGGTGGCCCAAAATGTCATGCGTCTCTTATACGGACAGGCTAAATATGAGATCGTCCTCAAATCTTCTCCCTCAACAGGAATTGGTCTGTACCCTGGTAACGTGTGCACTATGCATACAGTGTGGGAAAAAAGTATTTGATCCCCTGCTGATTTTGTACGTTTGCCCACTGACAAAGAAACTATCAGTCTATAATTTTAATGGTAGGTTTATTTGAACAGTGAGAGACAGAATAACAACAACAAAATACAGAAAAACATGTCAAAAATGTTATAAATTGATTTGCATTTTAAATGAGGGAAATAAGTATTTGACCCCCTCTCAATCAGAAAGATTTCTGGCTCCCAGGTGTCTTTTATACAGGTAACGAGCTGAGATTAGGAGCACACTCTTAAAGGGAGTGCTCCTAATCTCAGCTTGTTACCTGTATAAAAGACACCTGTCCACAGAAGCAATCAATCAATCAGATTTCAAACTCTCCACCATGGCCAAGACCAAAGAGCTCTCCAAGGATGTCAGGGACAAGATTGTAGACCTACACAAGGCTGGAATAGGCTACAAGACCATCGCCAAGCAGCTTGGTGAGAAGGTGACAACAGTTGGTGTGATTATTCGCAAATGGAAGAAACACAAAATAACTGTCAATCTCCCTCGGCCTGGGGCTCCATGCAAGATCTCACCTCGTGGAGTTGCAATGATCATAAGAACGGTGAGGAATCAGCCCAGAACTACACGGGAGGATCTTGTCAATGATCTCAAGGCAGCTGGGAACCATAGTCACCAAGAAAACAATTGGTAACACACTACGCCATGAAGGACTGAAATCCTGCAGCGACCGCAAGGTCCCCCTGCTCAAGAAAGCACATATACAGGGCCGTCTGAAGTTTGCCAACAAACATCTGAATGATTCAGAGGAGAACTGGGTGAAAGTGTTGTGGTCAGATGAGACCAAAATCGAGCTCTTTGGCATCAACTCAACTCGCCGTGTTTGGAGGAGGAGGAATGCTGCCTATGACCCCCAAGAACACCATCCCCACCGTCAAACATGGAGGTGGAAACATTATGCTTTGGGGGTGTTTTTCTGCTAAGGGGACAGGACAACTTCACCGCATCAAAGGGACGATGGACGGGGCCATGTACCGTCAAATCTCGGGTGAGAACCTCCTTCCCTCAGCCAGGGCATTGAAAATGGGTCGTGGATGGGTATTCCAGCATGACAATGACCCAAAACACACAGCCAAGGCAACAAAGGAGTGGCTCAAGAAGGAGCACATTAAGGTCCTGGAGTGGCCTAGCCAGTCTCCAGACCTTAATCCCATAGAAAATCTGTGGAGGGAGCTGAAGGTTTGAGTTGCCAAACGTCAGCCTCGAAACCTTAATGACTTGGAGAAGATCTGCAAAGAGGAGTGGAACAAAATCCCTCCTGAGATGTGTGCAAACCTGGTGGCCAACTACAAGAAACGTCTGACCTCTGATTGCCAACAAGGGTTTTGCCACCAAGTACTAAGTCATGTTTTGCAGAGGGGTCAAATACTTATTTCCCTCATTAAAAAACAAATCAATTTATAACATTTTTGACATGCGTTTTTCTGGATTTTGTCGTTGTTATTCTGTCTCTCACTGTTCAAATAAACCTACCATAAAAATTATAGACTGATCATGTCTTTGTCAGTGGGCAAATGTAGAAAATCAGCAGGGGATCAAATACTTTTTTCCCTCACTGTAAGTGTGACTAAAAACTTAAACTCACTTTCACACGTCTGTATGCATCACAAGCATTTGTTTTGTCCTCATAGGACACTAAAACTACTGCCACATTCTGGAAAATATAGGTCATCAACAGTAAGTAGGTCACTGTTCTTCGATACATTAACTTGTGTCTCATCACCACTTGTGTTTTATGCCCATTAGATAGTATAATATCCCCACGTCAAAAGAAACCAACTGTCTCGATTTCAAAATCGCTTTACAATTCTCTCTCAGACACACATCATGGCATTCATCCCTGTTAACTCAACCTATACAACCAACCATCTCATACATCTTGTGAATATGTTAACTGGACAGCCATGGTTAATATACTCAGAATAACAACAAAAAATATACAGATTCTGATTCGGGGGAGGAACGAGGAACAAAGTGCCATTCATATACATTCAATTCACAGCAGAGCAAGTCTGGCTAGGCTGGTTCAAAATCACTCCCTTATAGTCCACACACCCTCTCTAACCCTGGTGCCGTAGCCCTGCGATTGGCCCTCTGCAGTGTCCGTCACTGGCTTGGTCAGTTGGGGCGGTCCCTCCAGTAGTTGTTATAGGCTTCCTGGAACATGTTCTTGCAGCTGAGTTTGGCGTCAAGGCGGGAGCAGATGAGGAAGGAGCCGCCCATCTTGCGGTGGAGGGAGTAGGTCTCCTCGGGGGGCGGGGTGAGGCGCTGCTTCAGCATCACAGGGATCAGGTTGTGGATGCGCTCCGTGGTGCTCTGGGCCCCGAAGTTAAAGGGCTCCGTGGAGGCGAAGGCCTCACCCAGGATCATCACCGCGTCCACATGGGCGTTCTCCATGGACTGAGGGACGGGACGGGCAGAACAATATCAAAGAGGTTAATAACCTGGGTGTGTGTTAGTGTGTTTTGTAATTAAGTTGAGTATTCACTACTAAGTTTATGCCATAGAGTAATGAAGAGCCTTCTCAATTCATTGTGACTAAATAAAAAAGTATATATAGCATTATTGATGGATGTGTTGAGAACGAATGAAGTGACTCACCTTTGACTCATAACCTGTGAGGAACTTCATGTCTCTTGATCTCTTCAGAACCCCCTCTCTGTCTCCCTCTGCCGCAGACTTGATGAGCTGATTAAAACAATAAATAGTGGATGTCACACACATCAAAATAAATCATTTTGATCTGTTATGTTTTGTTGGGGGATATAGCCTAATATCTCACCTCAATGTAGATGTCAGTGAAGTCTTCACTAAATCCTCTCGTTGCTCCGAAATCCAACAACGCAACCTAAGGATGAAACAGTAGCAATGTTTAGTCATTTTAAGAATTCAGCAAAACCGTGGTACTGGAAGGGGGTTACTGCATAGGCTTGGTGTGCTCCACATAAGACACCAAGTATTTACGTTTACACGGAGAGGACCTTTAGGAGTGTCATCAAAATCAGTGGACTCTAATGATGAAGTTGATAACAAGAGTTAAAAGGCAGACTCACCCGGTGTGTCTGCGGGTCGTAGAAGAAGTTGGACCAGTTGGGGTCAGTCTGCATGTATCTGAACTCAAACAGCTCCCTCAAACACAGCTTCAGGATATTCTCACAGATCTGACCGAGAGAGAGATCTTTAAGAACACATTTCTCAGTCTGCAGTGTCGCCACCAAGGGGCAGTATTACACTCTTGAAGGTGTTTTGGTGGGTGAGGCGACAAAGGAGGTTGTTGTGGTGGTGGCGTTTGTCTTACTCATCAAAACAAGCTTGGCAAGAAGAAAACACATCATATTCCACATTTACACAATATGCAGTAAGTAAGTAGTAAGCACCAGAATACAGAATGGTGTCATTCTTTTGTGTATTTATTTGTTATTGAATACAGTTGCAGCATGTACTGACCTCATTCTTGAGTTCCTGGGAGAGTTGTTCAGCCTGGTCCAGAGGGAAGCCGGGGACCAGCTCTGTGGTGAGGACGGCGTTGCTGCTCAGCTCGTCTATTACGTCTGGTACGTAGAAGAACGGGTGGTCCTTCAGCAGCTCCCTGTACCAATCACATACATGCAACACTCGTCAGACACAGGAACAATACAACATACAGCTCTGAAAACTACTGCTGGATAACTCAGCAATTAGGACTAAATGGGAGTACATGTTCATTATTTGTGTCATAAAGATTCACAGGATCTTTAGTGTTTTCAAATAGCATTACAGTACTATACGAGTTACACTATATGATCCTCTTTTCAAACTACACAGATTTATCAGTGAGTGACCTCAACAACAACTCATTGCATCGCCACAATCCCTCAAATAATCCTCCAGTGTCTACACTAACACAGTGTGCTTGGGCTGTATAAATCACTGTTTAATGGGGAGGGTGAACCATCTACTGTATGACTATGCATAGAAGGGAGAGGTGTCACTGTCCGTGGTCAAGGTGAAAAGCACGTCATTCACAGCTGGTGCGTACTGCGTGTGTAACAGGAAACCTGCTCTGGACATGAACCCTAACCCTATCCCTCACCCTGCCTGCCTGCCCGTCAACAGATCATGGAGCGGGGACGGGGGACATGAGGAGAGGGCATGGGGAGGGGGTGCTTGTTGTCTTCTTGTATTATTTCCAGTATGGCTATATTTAAAAGCTGGCTGCAAGCGACCGGTGTGCCTTCATATCAAGCCATCGAAACCTAACGCTCCCCAGAGGGCTAGAGTGGCTATTCTTAGCCCCTACAGGCTACAGTACCTTTCCTGATCTGGACCACTGAGGAACTGTGTTTAAGAGATTCATTTAACTTGGCCCCCTGGGGAGGGAGGGATTCATTAAGTGCTAATACTGTACTCTGCATCTCTACAAAACACTGAATACTACAAGTTGTGGCCATTAAAAACAACTGTTGACTCATAAAAAATTCATATTGCTTGGCTAAATCCAACTTCATCCAAAATATAGAGCAATTTTACCCCCCATTTTTCATTTCAGGAGCGGAGCAGTGACAGTTAGGTTAGATGATAAAAGTAGTTACAGGGAGGTGGTCTTTAAGAAGAAGCTCATCTTGTTGTTTTCATTACTCACTTGAATTTCTTGGCACATTTGGCCTCTCTTATGTAATCACATTCCAGCGCCAGCTCTCTGCTCATCACCTCAATCAGATGCTCAGGGAAGAGACCTGCACAAGATTTAAACAGAGGGAGAGAGAAAGGGAGGGAGAGAGGGGGTGAGCAGAAGGGAGAGAGGGGTTGATTATAATTTCTCTTTCACGTAGAGGAGGATGTGTGCTCCAATCATTCAGTGGAAGCCCTGACTGATGGGTATGAGTCACCCTACCGAGGATCAATGATGGTCTCTCGCGGCTGTCTGTGACATAGGGAGGGGGGCTGTAAAATCCCCATTATTGTACATAATGTGAGCCATGTCATACATGTGATTAGAATATCTCATACTATGTCAGTTGTGTATGGCCCATAAATAACTAATTCAATCCCTCCAGGGGTCGTCACCTTCAGGCAGCGCGTTGCTCATGGTGAGGAGGGTCATCAGGTTGTTGACGTCACTGTCGATGCTCTTAGCCACTCCGGGGTACTGCATGGGACAAACAGAGCAGGAGTAACAGCATGATAAAACAACCATGTTTACCAGTTTGACACAAACCAGCCCTGATGACAAGCTCTGACGTGAAAACAAAACACTGCCATGATATTGTATATGGGAAATGCTAATGGAGCACTTAGCACTAAGAGCCATGTCTATATACAATTTGAGATAAAACCTATACAGTTTATGACAACAAACATGCTTTCCATGCTGTAGGTCTTTCGACTGGTGAACATGTGGGAAGCTTACTCTAAGATAATTTAAGATAAACAATACTGAGTTGACACATACGATTCCCATGTGCTTAAAAGGTCATGAATAAAATAAAAAAAAACGACAGACTTGTTTTATTTCTTCTTGAAAAGACGAGCACTGCCTTAAATGCAGCCATGAGAACAGCAGAAAAGCAAATCAGATTGCAGAGACAATGCTGGTGGTCACTGCTGACATTCAACATCTGTCATCTCTACACTGTGGACTTTCACAATGTGACGATGCAAGATGCCTTTAATGAAGACAGGAGGTTGTAGAAAGCCTATACTGTGTGCGTTAATGTGAACTCGTACTTCTACCAGGGGATTATTTAGGAGGGTGCGTTACAGAACGTTCAGATATAAATGTATTGTTTCTAAAAGATAGTCTGTCATATAGAGTAGGGAATCATGTCAGCTCTATTCCTTATATTTCTATCTGCAACTCCAGAATAAGCAGCAGCAGGTTTCTCCATCTCACCTGGATCTTCATGGCCACCTCCTTGCCGTTCTTCATCTTAGCTAGATGAACCTGTCCGATGGAGGCCGCAGCAAACGGACGTTCCTCAAACGACTCCAGCTTGTCTCTCCAGTTAGGGCCCAGGTCGTTATTGATGGACTTCTGCAGGGACAGGGACACAACCACACATACACTGTTGAGGGAGTTGCCATTGGTTTGTCTGTCACTGAGATGGGCATTAGTCTTCAGTTATGGTACCTCATTAAAAGACGGGTTCAACAGATCTGATCATAATCCGTTTTTCACTTTATTGTCTTACTGACTGACGTATTAATGATTCAGAGAGCAGCTTGATACTAATTTGTTTTCTAGTACTAGTCCCTCTTTATAGCAAGAGGCTAAAGGGCTAGTGATGAGGGGACTTAAGAGCAGGCTATTAAAGGTGAAACCTTACCGTCATCTGTTTGATGGGCATGAAGTCTGCACTCTGTCTCACACGCTCAAAGATCTTGGCCAGCTGGGGGTTGATGAAGGCATCATCTGAAGGAGAAGGACAGAGGAGAGAGATGAAAGTGAATGACTGATCAAATCAGACTGACATACAACAGTCAGAACAAAACATGAAAGACAAGCCATCTTGTTCCTGTCTGTCAACCTGTTTATTACGCGATGCACCAATACGGGAAAGGAAATTACAGGTCTTAATCACAGTATCCTGTTCAGTTCAACTCCAACATGTTGAGTAATAAATGAACAATCACAGGTCTATAAATCATCTTTAAAACCTTGGTGCCTCTGGGCATTTAGACAGAGATCATCACAGTAAACAGTTAAATCACAGAGATTATCACAAGTCCTCGCCAGTGTTCACTAAATGTCTCTGGGAGGCTAACATATTTCGCACAGCAACAACTTTCACATAGCTTTAGCTGGCAGTGCCTTAAAAAGGTCCCTCAGATGTTTTATAGCAACAACGATGACTGTGCATGTTAACCAAAACAACGTGGTGGGAGCTGGGCTGCAGAACATTGTTGGAAGGATCTACAACCGTGTCAACATTCCGACAACAAGTGGAAAAAGGTAGTGGAGGAGAATGACAGCAAACACAGATGAAATAGAACCCAAAACACGGTAGTCAGAGGGGACGTGAGGTCTTTGCTTTCTGATACTGATAGGGTATAGATTCCTGCCAGACCTGGCTGATTGTGAGTGAGGGTGACTTTAGTATTTAGTTAGGCAGAACACTCACCTATTCTCTAAATCACATCTGTCGGCCTGTTTTCTGACCTGAGAATGACTTCTCTCATTTAAGCATTGGCTGCACTTAATAATGGAGGGATCAACCGAAGTAATTGTGATTTGACCTATGACTTACTGTAAATATCATCATGGATGTTTATCATAACTTGTCTGAGGAATGCTGAAGAGACACGTTTTTCTGTTATGATTAGACGGCCATTGATATGCAACACCTTCCTAGAATACCAAGCCAGTTTGAAAACCAGTTTTATCTAAAATCATGCAACACCTTTTAGAACAAAGGACATTAGCCTAGTCACCTCTATCAGTTTACATAGGGAAATATATGCGGTTTTCTAACATGCAGCGATTATGGAGCTTTGGCAGAGGCCGGACACGTCAAACTCAAAGGTTGCAGTTCTGACATAGTTGGTGGCTTATTTTTAGCCCTGGCAATGCCTTGGCTGTTGCTGTCCTTCAATAGTACATTTGGTACGTGTCACACAACTGACATGGGAATGGCGGGAGAATGCCAGTGCCCTGTGCATTGAGTTGCATTAATCTTATGCTGGGTCTGTGACATAGTTCACCAGCTAGCTGCAGCAGTTGGGAACCCTTTCTCCCCTATATCCTACACATTACAATGACCATACAGACCTATAGGTGGGGCTTGGTTGGGTAGCTACTAATTAAATTAGGGGCTCGATGGGTAAGCTTCCCTCTAAAGCTGTACCTGCTTGCCAAACTTAGACAGAGCACTAATCTCTGACTCAGCGCCAGGGAGTGCTATGAGAGAGGTTACCGCTTTGCGTGCCAACACTCAGAAGGGCGGGCAAGGCTGTGTGCAGGGGGCAACATGAGTCGATAGAGCGCTTGCTATTTTTAAATCAGAACCCCACTCACATTCCCAAACACAAACAACCAGCCCAGATAGACAAGCTGGCAAGCTAGGAGGCCAGTTAAAAGGCAATGACAAGGGCAACACAGCAGGGTCCAGCCAGGCTAAAATAAGTGCTGTGTGTTGTTGTGACCTGACTGGAGATGTGGTGAACTGGGAGATGCATGAATAGATAGATGCCGGTGAGGTGGGAGAGGCCAGAAATAACTCCTGGCTCCTTCACACACTCATCTACAGAGGCTGGAGGGAGGCCCAGTGGAGGTTATGAAGATGACTCATGAGTGCCCTGACACATACTGCAGCACAGTAGACACAGCTGAAGAGGGCAGTAAACAGAGGGAACGGCCAAGACACAAATAAAAACACACACAGGATCAAGGTTAGCCAGTTCTCACCTTGAATGCTGAGCATCTGGCCCAGTTTGAGTGCGGCTCCGCGGACCTTACACAGTGTCCTGACGATCCTCTCTGCATTAGCCTCTGACAGGAACGGACTGGAGTCTAGAACGGCCTTCTTGTCAGCTGAGGGGAGAAATAACAGTCAGCTCTATGCTAAACTCTGAGGTTGGCATGGGAAATGTAGTTGTAGTGATTTTCCTGGTGAGACTCAAACTAATGTTGACTCATGGGTTTAGTGGATAGGTAGTGCAGGTATGGCTTAAGGGAGATAACGCTTTAATAAATAGCATCTAACGGCAACTCGTTTTGGGATCTTTTGAGGTAAAAGTGGCCGCCTATTTATTCAAACCAGTGGTGATTCCTGACTGAGGAGGAGAAGGCCTAATGTGGTGAGAGATGTGTCACTTCCACGCTATTGATACACTCAACACATGGTAGACAACACCAGCGCTCTTCCTCACACCCTGTCCAGAGCACCCCATTCCCATCAAGAGAGAGAGAGACAACTAAAACGTGTTTACTAGAAGACTGCTGAGACCTGAAGTGTGAATGTCTTTCCTGACAGTACTGTACAGTTTGTTTAGTCCATATTCTGTTATTGTATCAGCTTGTACGATGTAACATATTAAATTATAGAAAACCAGGCATTTTCATAAACCAACTGATTTAAATAAAAATCTGGCAAAAAAAATCTTCCCGCTCTAGGCAGTGCTTTGTGTAGCAGAACCAGTCTGTCTGGTTTGATGCCCTCAAGCAGGGAGAGAGAGGCACGCCTGCCAGGCAACCCAGGTGGAGTGAAGGGGAGAATGTGTGTCAGTGGGCCACACTGTGCCATCAATAGCAAGAGTAGTGCGTACTAAGGCTTTAGGAGCAGAAGAAGATTTAAAAAGGACTGTTACCTTAGGCACACTACTGCTACTGTTTCCCCCAGAGCGTTCTTCATTACCATAACGTTAGAGAGCAGTGCACTGGAAAAAGTGTAGATCAAAGTCCCCCACAGTAGATCAAGATTTTTTTTCTTATCTGCTCTGATGACAAACCACTACATACTCTACCACTACATACGCACTCGGTATTGTGCAGAAATTGTGCATATTTGAGAATGAATGTGTATTTGAATACCATCTCGGATTGATCATTTCTAATAGATAAAACCTTGGATTAAATTTTGATCTCCATTCAAAGCCCTAGATTCAATGTACTTCCAGGGTATTAAGGAGACTGAGTATGGTTACATGCACACAATAATATGATTATTGTTGATAGTCAGACTAATATAATAGTATGTTTAAAACGTTTACATGCTTTGCAAGAAGAACGACTTCCCTAATAATCCTGTTTACATGGACACATCTGAAATCAGGCTACCTGATGAGACTTTTGATAAATGCAGAACATTGCCAATCATGTTATTTTTGCAAAGCCTATTTGATTTGGAGTTTGGACAAATTTGCATGTGAAAACTATTTCTAAGATGCATACTATTCATTTCACTCGCGCATAAGAGGGAGGCTTGCACTACCGGTGCTGGCACATGCGCAGATCAAATACACCACTGGAATGCTGGCTAAGGTATTTACATGTCCTAATAATTTGAAAGATCGATTTAAAACCTGGTTTTCTGAGCAGTGTACGCTTACTTCGATTTTGACCTTCCACCAATTAAGATAAGCAGAGTAAGGTGTTTACATGACTATGTCCATAATTTGCCTACTGCCATAATACATTTAATATCGAAATGATTAGTGTGCATGGAAATGCACTCAGTGAGTACGTTTACATGCACAGTAATAATTCAATATTACAATTATTATGGCAGTAGGCAGATTATGCAATAGTCATATAAACACCTTACTCTGCTTATCTTAATTGGTGGAAGGTCAAAATCGAAGTAAGCGTACACCGATTAAAACCTGGTTTTCTGAGCAATCTTTCAAATTATTAGGACATGTAAATACCTTAGCCAGCATTCCAGCGGTGTATTTGACCAGCGCATGTGCTAGCACCAGCAGAGCAAGCCTCTCTCTTTAGCGCGAGTGAAGTGAGTTCAGAACAACTGAATGTATGCATTTTAGAAGTCGTTTTGACATTGAAACTTTATATGTCTGAACTCAGAATCAAACATGCTTCCCAAAAATAACATGGTCGCTGTAGTAGAACATTTATTTTGATTGCCGATTTTCTGCCTTTATCAGAGTGCCATCAGGTAGCCGGATTTCAGATGTGTCCATGTAAACAGGATTATTAGGGAAATCGTTCTTCTTGCAAAGCATGTTAACGTTTTAATCAAACTATTATATTAAATCTGACTATCCACAATAATCGCATTATTACGTGCATGTAACCATACTCATTGGCTCTGTGAATGGCTCTATAAATGTCCATCTCCCCTGCACTAGATTAGACTGCCACACCACCTCCAGAGGTCCAGCAGTGGCATGGCAGCAGACTAATTTAAGAGTGGGCTAGAAAGGTCAGCTCAATAAATGGCCCGCTCCAATTCTTCCCCCGACAGCTGCAGGCCCAGGCGTTAAAGACTGCTGGAGACCACACCTGTCCACTGTGAGTTCCATAAGGCCTTGTGTAAGATAGAACACCATTTCATAAAAGCCTTGTGTAATATCATCACAGTTTCATTAAGGGTCTTTTGTAAGAGCTAAGACCACACTCATCAACTGAGCCCAACTACAGTAGAGTCTAAGAACTATAGCCTAGAGTGTTCAACTACAATGAATTATGATATGAATTATTATGCCTCTGCATGTCTGTTTAGGTGAAATCATATCATGCCCTCGTCCATTGCATGCAAATTAAAAAAGGTTACAATGTAATTCTTAGATGAATTAAATAATGTGAGAAATGTCAAAAAGGGGCATTGCCTGCATGTTACTGCTGGCTAAGTGTCTAGTATGTGAGTGTGCATGCTTGTACACGTAATGTCAAACATAAGTCTGTTTCCAGTTACCATAAAAAACAGTTTATGTTAAACAGTTACCGTTTTCCTCACTTGGCCTCATACTCTTCTTGGCTACCTCCGCCAGCGCTCCGAAGCCCAACCCTAAAGCAAGACCTGTAGACACAACCCACAGTGTAAACCATCACACAACAACCCATCCTGACATAACATGATGTTAAGATCTGGGTCATTCAGTAGGGTGCAATGTTACGGAAAGTTCAGATAGAAATATCTTGTGTAGAACAGACATGGTTCTCGGTCATGTAGCTTTAGGAATCATATCAGCTCTATATATGTAGGGTGTCCAATCAAAAAGGCATATTTTGACCAATGGGTAAAATAATGTTAATTGTGTAGATAATCCTCTAAGAAAACCAATGGTCCAAACCGTACATCTGTCATTATCCCTTTACAGTGAAGGAAAAAAGTATTTCATCCTCTGCTGATTTTGTAAATTTGCCCACTGACAAAGAAATGATCAGTATATAATTTTAATGGTAGGTTTATTTGAACAGTGAGAGACAGAATAACAACAACAAAATCCAGAAAAACGCATGTCAAAAATGTTATAAATTGATTTGCATTTTAATGAGGGAAATAAGTATTTGACCCCCTCTCAATCAGAAAGATTTCTGGCACCCAGGTGTCTTTTATACAGATAATGAGCTGAGATTAGTAGCACACTCTTAAAGGGAGTGCTCCTAATCTCAGTTTGGTACCTGTATAAAAGACAACTGTCCACAGAAGCAATCAATTAATCAGATTCCAAACTCTCCACCATGGCCAAGACCAAAGAGCTCTCCAAGGATGTCAGGGACAATATTGTAGACCTACACAAGGCTGGAATGGGCTACAAGACCATCGCCAAGCAGCTTGGTGAGGTGACAACAGTTGGTGCGATTATTCGCAACTGGAAGAAACACAAAGAAAACTGTCAAATCTCCCTCGGCCTGGGGCTCCATGCAAGACCTCACCTCGTGGAGTTGCAATGACCATGAGAACAGTGAGGAATCAGCGCAGAACTACACGGGAGGATCTTGTCAATGATCTCAAGTCAGCTGGGACCATAGTCACCAAGAAAACAATTGGTAACACACTACGCCGTGAAGGACTGAAATCCTGCAGCGCCCGCAAGGTCCCCCTGCTCAAGAAAGCACATATACATGCCCATCTGAAGTTTGCCAATGAACATCTGAATGATTCAGAGGAGAACTGGGTGAAAGTGTTGTGGTCAGATGAGACCATCAACTCAACTCGCCGTGTTTGGAGGAGGAGGAATGCTGCCTATGACCCCAAGAACATCCCCACCATCAAACATGGAGGTGGAAACATTATGCTTTGGGGGTGTTTTTCTGCTAAGGTGACAGGACAACTTCACCGCATCAAAGGGACGATGAACGGGGCCATGTACTGTCAAATCTCGGGTGAGAACCTCCTTCCCTCAGCCAGGGCATTGAAAATGGGTCGTAGATGGGTATTCCAGCATGACAATGACCCAAAACACACGGCCAAGGCAACAAAGGAGTGGCTCAAGAAGAAGCACATTAAGGTCCTGGAGTGGCCTAGCCAGTCTCCAGACCTTAATCCCATAGAAAATCTGTGGAGGGAGCTGAAGGTTTGAGTTGCCAAACGTCAGCCTCAAAACCTTAATGACTTGGAGAAGATCTGCAAAGAGGAGTGGGACAAAATCCCTCCTGAGATGTGTGCAAACTTGGTGGCCAACTACAAGAAACGTCTGACCTCTGTGATTGACAACAAGGGTTTTGCCACCAAGTACAAAATCATGTTTTGCAGAGGGGTCAAATACTTATTTCCCTCATTAAAATGCAAATCAATTTATAACAACATTTTTGACATGCGTTTTTCTGGATTTTTTTTGTTGTTATTCTGTCTTTCACTGTTAATAATAATAATAATAATAATAATAATAATAATAATAAGCCATTTAGCAGACGCTTTTATCCAAAGCGACTTACAGTCGTGCGTGCATACATTTTTTTTTTGTGTATGGGTGGTCCCGGGGATCGAACCCACTACCTTGGCGTTACAAGCGCCGTGCTCTACCAGCTGAGCTACAGAGGACTGATCATTTTTGTCAGTGGGCAAACATACAAAATCAGCAGGGGATCAAATACTTTTTTCCCCTCACTGTAAACGTTATTGCAGTTTTTACCCTTGTAGGATGGCCAGAATTAGGGTGACCAAATAAAAAAAGGCTAGATAAAAAATAAATAAAAAGTGGCCAATAATCTGGAAAATTACATAGCGCCAGCTAGGCTGGATTCTGTGCAAGAATAAGGATACTGGCTACTTGACATGCTCACTGTCCCCATTGAACTCGTCATCTTTCTACTTGAATACGAAGGACATAAAACAATAGAGGAAAGATGGATATCGAGACATAACATGTAGTATTTTCATATTTTAGTATACGGTTTTCATATGAATTCGAAATTCCTGTTCTTTTTAGAAGATTCCTCACAAAAACAAGCGTATCTGTGAAATGTCAATGGAGCACTGAGCGTATACCAAGCTTTTTCTTTTCAAAGCCTTTTACATGTAATTCAGCTCGTGTCATGCTAATTTTACGACCAGCAGAAACAACTTTTAAGACGACGACCACAAAATGTAAATCCTTAAAAGTTTTTACGGAAACCTGCACCGCTATGTCAATAGAGCTCGGTGCTTATTATCGGATGTATTAGTTTACGAAATCTGACTGTTTTGATATAATGTTAATGATATGTTAGAGAATGACCCCACTGAACAATTCAGAACATGAATAATCATATTTGTCTTGGTAAAATGTATTGTATAACATAAGGAAGTAAAATGTCATAATCAAAGCGCATTTTCACCCACTCTGGGCAGAGTGGTAGACACCCTAATATATGGCATTTCAATCTGCAACATTCAGATTATAGTGCACTCCTGAAAGCAAACAAACTTTTGATATTTACATTTTCTTTTCCATATATTGTACAGAACATCCCAGGTACACATGTAATTTGCTTCCCACAGCCTTTTACTTCCCCATGATACATCAGTCAGGTCAAATCAGTTCCTGGTAGCTCTAGGGACATTCACTTATGCCACTCTAGTCTATTTAAGACACAGATTGAATTCAGTTCAGTCTTTCAGCTACATACAGATGTTATCTTAAGAAATTAACATAAGTATAGTATAAAAAAATATGTAGAAGGTATTTTGTGTCAGTGATTATTTTACCTTTTTCTATAACGGTTGCCTATTAAATAAATCACCCTTTTTCTCTTTGGATAGTACATCTAGAATCAAATCACATTTTATTTGTCACATGCTTTGTAAACAACAGGTGTAGACTAAGAGTGAAATGCTTACTTACAGGCCCTTCTCAACAACGCAGAGAGAAAGAAAATAGAGAAATAATAGAAAAGTAAAACACACAATAATAAAAGTAATAATAAATACACAATAAGTAATGATAACTTGGCTATACACACAGGGTACCAGTACTGAGTCGATGTCCATGAAGGAACAGGACAGCAGTTACAACACTAAATCCCTTTGGGATTCATTCTGACATAGTTCTCTACTTTCTAGTCAATAAGCAAGTAGGAATTTGGGCACAGAAAAAGAATGTGTCACTGTTCTGAGAATACGGGGGACATCCATATCTACAGCACAGAATGAAAATCACAGCTAACTAGCTCATTCCATGCCATGTAAATGTTATCCAAGTAATGCAACCAAAATAACAAAATCAATAGCGCTGAGCTCAGCACATTTTGTGCCACAACCCACATGGCACAGAAACAAAAACAAGCTTGGGCACAGGCGAGGCAGGACAGCCTTCCTACACTACAATAGCATTACATTTTAGTCATTTAGCAGACGCTCTTATCCAGAGCAACGTACAGTTAGTGAGTACATACATTATTTTTTTCATACTGGCCCCCCGTGGGAAACGAACCCACAACCCTGGCGTTGCATACACCATGCTCTACCAACTTAGCTACATCCCTGCCGGCCATTCCCTCCCCTACCCTGGACGACGCTGGGCCAATTGTGCGCCGCCCCATGGGTCTCCCGGTCGCGGCCGGCTACGACAGAGCCATGTTATATAACGCCACTATAACATAATATTCTCCATAAGAAATCACTGTGCACAAACCAGCTGAGGACTTCCCTGAAATGCTGTTAACTTAATGTGGTCGACAAGCTGAAGTGCGTGCACCATTTGAACCAGTGACCTTCGATAGGTATCCAAAACAAGCCCAGTCTTTTCCCCTTTGTAAGGCAGAATTCTAGGTCATATCATGCCAATGATTAAAAAGTCTTATCAGACAGTCAACCAATCATACCTGTGCTCCCAAACACCAGTGTGGGTAGTGTGTAATCTCGTCAATGATTGAGTAGCACTTCCTACACTGCAGAGATCCCTAAGTGTGCATATATATATATATATATATATATATTAGGGCTGTCAAATGATTAAAATTTTTAATCAAATTAATCAGAATTTTCAGTGGATTAATCATGATTAATCACTATTTGCAATTACACCTGAATCCTAACCATTTTTTTTCTGAAATGCATACCAAAAGATAAATAACAGGACACAGATACATAATTTTCATATTATGTCTGTTTATTAACACAGCCAAATAATGGTGTTTTAAATCAAGCTGAAACATACTACACACCATAATATTTGTCTTTGGCTGTGGCTCTTGACGGTGGCTTATAGAATGAGTCTTGAGACGCCACTTGCAAAACATCAAGGAAACCTGAGTCTTCTACAATGCTAATGGGTCTACAATCCTTTGCAATCCATTTTGCTATTGTGTTGGTCAAATTATCTGAGGTTGATTTTGTTAATTGCCTGCAAACATTCAGCGTGGTCTGGCGCAAACCACTTGCTGAATCTGACGGCCCAGCAAACGCATGTTTGGCGTTGACATGGTACTTCAAGCTTGAACAGCTCCGGTGAAATTGAAACTCCTTCTTACAAATCTTGCAAATAACCTTGTACTTGTTAACTGTACCATCATCATTCTTTTTATATTTGAATCCGTCAATAGGCCCACTTTGCTCACCTTGCTCCATCTCGCCTCTAGCTCCCAACCACTTTCCTGACCTGAATAATTTGTCACACTGCGCATGCGTGAAATGCGTTAAAAAAATTGACGTAATTAACAGCAAACAACTAATTAACGTCGTTAACGCGCTATTTTTGACAGCCCTAATATATATATATATATACTAAATCAATCAAATTTGGCTTTAGATAATTTTTACTCTGAAATATGTTCAGTAACTGATTTCTTCACTAACGTTATGTTGCCCTCTAAATAAATCCAAGCCAAAGCAACAACACATTCAGAAAGCTTCACCATGATATGAGGATATCTTGTTTACACCCATTGACCCCCTCAGTATTTCTCCTTTCTTGGTAAACAGCATTCAGTCAGTCAGCTACTGCTCAGGAAGTTGAGCAAAGTCCTTCTGTCAGTCAAGTCAAAGAATCCTGCAGAAGTTCAAAGGGGTGACACTGAGTGGCGCCGTCAGCTCCTGGCACAGTCATACTGCCAAGCTGAAAACTCACCCTGATCACCTTACAGAAATAGAAAGTTGTGTTTATGGCGAAAAATAGATGGCTTGTTTAGGACATGACAATAACAGCGGGGGCTGGGGGTTTCATAAAAAGACAACCGGTCAGACAACTTCTAAACATCCTTCTAACTTCCATGGTAAGACAACAATCTCTCCATGGAAGCATCCATTCGTAGTGTTTCCTGAAGCATTATGTGTACCTGTCTAAGGGAACTGAAAGAGAGCATGGTGTTAATTTATGTATCCATGTTCCAATTCACAATAACAACCAGGAGAGAACAGAACAGGAAACCTGCATGGCTTGGTGTTCTCTCGCATTGGTACACTCTGTGTGTTCGTGCCGTGGGAGGAGGGTTTGGTTCGTTGGCAGAGAGCAATCGCTAGGTAGTATGCTAACTATTCTAGCTAACTAACTGGCTGAATAAGTTGACTGAATAAGTTGACTCACTCAAACTGTCAAAACTAACCCAAAACTTCACACAACGTTAGACACGGACACGAATGATCTGCTTGGCGTGTTAACACACTGGTGGTTTGTTGTAACCGAGTATTGGTGCTAAACCGTGTTATTGGAGGCTGGCATGCTAGTTGGCTATGGCGTCATAGGATTCGGTGCCCTGGACGGTTTTCACGGAAGAATACTGTACCAAGTTAGCTAGCTGAATAAACTAAGTTATAGTCTATTCCTAGAAAACATTGAACCACTGTAGTTTACAACAATTATAATTTCTAAAGTGGAAGTTGGGAGAGTTATATTTGAGTGTTTCAGTGAAACGTAAGTGAGGGAGGCCCCGCTCTCTCGCTTTCCCAGATGTTTAGTTCATTTCATTGCGATCTCCTTTGCATTATTGTAGCCTTTTTCTGTAGCCTGTCAACTATGTGTCTGTCTATCCCTGTTCTCTCCTCTCTGCACAAGCCATACAAACGCTTCACACCACGTGGCTGTTGCCACTCTAATCTGGTGGTCCCTGCACGCACGATCCACGTGGAGTTCCAGGTCTCTGGGAGCCTCTGGAACTGCCGTTCTGCGGCCAAACCAAACCAGACCAGTCAGGTTTCAAGACTGGTCATTCAACTGAGACTGCTCTTCTCTGTGTCACGGATGCTCTCCGCACTGCTAAAGCTAACTCTCTCTCCTCTTATCCTTCTAGACCTATCCGCTGCCTTTGATACAGTGAACCATCAGATCCTCCTCTCCACCCTCTCCGAGTTGGGCATCTCCGGCGCTGCTCACTCTTGGATTGCGTCCTACCTGACAGGTCGCTCCTACCAGGTGGCGTGGCGAGAATCTGTCTCCGCACCATGTGCTCTCACCACTGGTGTCCCCCAGGGCTCAGTTCTAGGCCCTCTCCTATTCTCTCTATACACCAAGTCACTTGGCTCTGTCATATGGTCTCTCCTATCATTGCTACACAGACGACACACAATTAATTTTCTCCTTTCCCACTTCTGATAACCAGGTGGCGAAAAGCATCTCTGCATGTCTGGCAGACATATCAGTGTGGATGTCGGCTCACCACCTCAAGCTGAACCTCGGCAAGACGGAGCTGCTCTTCCTCCCGGGGAAGGACTGCCCGCTCCATGATCTCGCCATCACGGTTGACAACTCCATTGTGTCCTCCTCCCAGAGTGCAAAGAACCTTGGCGTGACCCTGGACAACACCCTGTCGTTCTCCGCTAACATCAAAGCGGTGACCCGATCCTGCAGGTTCATGCTCTACAACATTCGCAGAGTACGACCCTACCTTACACAGAAAGCGGCACAGGTCCTAATCCAGGCACTTGTCATCTCCCGTCTGGATTACTGCAACTCGCTGTTGGCTGGGCTCCCTGCCTGTGCCATTAAACCCCTACAACTTATCCAGAACGCTGCAGCCCGTCTGGTGTTCAACTTTCCCAAGTTCTCTCATGTCACCCCGCTCCTCCGCACACTCCACTGGCTTCCAGTTGAGGCTCGCATCTACTACAAGACCATGGTGCTTGCCTACGGAGCTGAGAGGGGAACGGCACCTCCTTACCTTCAGGCTCTGATCAGACCCTACACCCAAACGAGGGCACTACTTTCATCCACCTCTGGCCTGCTAGCTCCCCTACCTCTACGGAAGCACAGTTCCCGCTCAGCCCAGTCAAAGCTATTCGCTGCTCTGGCACCCCAATGGTGGAACAAGCTCCCCCACGACAGCGGAGTCACTGACCACCTTCCGGAGACACTTGAAACCCTACCTCTTTAAGGAATACCTGGAATAGTATAAAGTAATCCTTCTACCCCCCATAAAAAAAAAAGAGAATAAAAAAGTGGTCGTCCCACTGGCTATCATAAGTTGAATGCACCAATTTGTAAGTCGCTCTGGATAAGAGCTTTTGGTAAATGATGTAAATGTAAACAGACTAAACAGACATCAGGAACTGGATAGCCTATCAGCAACTCTACCTCAACGTGAGACCAGTTGATGATCAGTCCTCGGGGGACAGTATAGCAATTTAGCCCTGGAGGAGTGGGCCATGGGCTGGGTTGCCAGCCTACCAGGTATCCCCCTGAGCCATGTTGGGGAGGGAGAGCAGACCAATAAGGCTCCAGAGTGCTGGACTGACAGGTGTCCGTCTATTGAGACCCACATCACTCAAATGCCCCCAAACCTGGCAACCCTGATTTCCAGCTGAATGATGGAGTGATCCAGCAGATCCCTCTCCGAGACCTGCCCCGCCCCACAACCTCCCATGATGCCTCTGGTAGTGTGGTGCCCTGAATGCCGGAGCTGGCCCTGTAATGTATACAGAAGGTGTCAGGGCCATGTATGGACCCAGAGTGAACAGGTGCTCCTGAGTGGCTTTCCTCTCACTTGTGTATCGGCTCGCTGTGTGGATCTGATAACCTCCCAAACAGCCACAAAATGTGCAGCATGCTGGCAGAGAGATGGATGACCCAGAACGGGGCAGGCCAGGGCCAGCTGTCAGTCCATATCCCAGAGACAGATGTACCCAGGCCAGGATATCGGCTAGAGATGCTGCTCACATTAATCCCTCTACCTACCTTTATCATGACATGAGCTCTGACTCCTTCAGCTTCTGCCGCCTACAGCTATAGTGTTCTGTCCTCCTCCTGTTCACACAGTCACAGGCCCAGGGCAAGGTGATGAGGTGGGACGCTCAGATATCATAGTGCTTACATGAGACAGATCGTTGCGTCCCATCTACAGCTATAGTAGATGGAATACTGTACATACAATGCATTCGGAAAGTATTCAGAACCCTTTACTTTTTCCACATTTTGTTACATTACAGCCTTAATCTAAAATGGATTAAAAACAAAACAAAAATCCCCTCATCACAATACCTCAATGGTTTTTAGAAATGTTTGCAACTGAAATATCACATTTACATAAGTCTTCAGACCCCTTTACTCAGTACTTTGTTGAAGCACCTTTGGCAGCGATTACAGCCTCAAGTCTTCTTGGGTATTACACTACAAGCTTGGCACACCTGTATTAGGAGAGTTTCTACCATTCTTCTCTACAGATTCTCTCAAGCTCTGTCAGGTTGGATGGGTAGCATCGCTGCACAGCTATTTTCAAGTCTCTCCAGAGATGTTCGATCGGGTTCAAGTCCGGGCTCTGGCTGGGCCACTCAAGGACATTCAGAGACTTGTCCCGAAGCCACTCCTGCGCTGTCTTGGCTGTGTGCTTAGGGTCGTTATCCTGTTGCAAGGTGAACCTTCGCCCCCATCAAGGATCTCTCTGTACTTTGCACCGTTCATCTTTCCCTCAATCCTGACTAGTTTCCCAGTCCCTGCCGCTGAAAATCATCCACACAGCATGATGCTGCCATCACCATGCTTCACCGTCGGGATGGTGCCAGGTTTCCTCCAGACGTGACGCTTGGCATTCAGGCCAAAGAGTTCAATCTTGGTTTCATCAGACCAGAGAATCTTGTTTCTCATGGTACAATAGTCCTTTTAGGTGCTTTTTGGAAAACTCCAAACGGGCTGTCATGTGCCTTTTACTGAGGATTGGCTTCCATCTGGCCACTCTACCATAAAGGCCTGATTGGTGGAGTGCTGCAGATGGTTGTCCTTCTGGAAGGTTCTCCCATCTCCACAGAGGAGCTCTGTCAGAGTGACCATCGGGTTCTTGGTCACCTCCCTGGCCATGGCCCTTCTCCCCCGATTGCTCATTTTGGCCGGGCGGCCAGCTCTAGGAAGAGTCTTGGTGGTTCTAAACTTCTTCCATTTAAGAATGATCGAGGCCACTATGTTCTTGGGGAACTTCAATGCTGCAGAAATGTTTGGTACCCTTCCCCAGATCTGTTCCTCGACACAATCCTGTCTCGAAGCTCTACGGACAATTCCTTCGATCTCATGGCTTGGTCTTTGCTCTGACATGCACTGTCAACTGTGGGACCTTATATAGACAGGTGTGTGCCTTTCCAAATCATGTCCAATCATCCACAGCTGGACTCCAGTCAAGTTGTAGAAACATCTCAAGGATGATCAATGGAAACAGGATGCACCGGAGCTCATTTTCGAGTCTCATAGCAAAGGGTCTGAATACTTATGTAAATAAGGTATATTTTTTGTATTTTTAATAAATCAGCAACATTTTCTAAAAACTTATTTTCGATTTGTCATTATGGGGTATTGTGTGTAGATTGATGAGGAAAATGTTTTATTGAATCCATTTTAGAATAAGGCTGTAACGTAACAACATTTGGAAAAAGGGAAGGGGTCTGAATACTTTCCGAATGCACTGTACACACACACACACACACGTGTGTGATGGAATGTATAGACATTATGGACAGTATGTACAGTGGGGGAAAAAAGTATTTAGTCAGCCACCAATTGTGCAAGTTCTCCCACTTAAAAAGATGAGAGAGGCCTGTAATTTTCATCATAGGTACACGTCAACTATGACTGACAAATTGAGAAGAAATAAAATTGAGAAAATCACATTGTAGGATTTTTTATGAATTTATTTGCAAATGATGGTGGAAATAAGTATTTGGTCACCTACAAACAAGCAAGATTTCTGGCTCTCACAGACCTGTAACTTCTTTAAGAGGCTCCTCTGTCCTCCACTCGTTACCTGTATTAATGGCACCTGTTTGAACTTGTTATCAGTATAAAAGACACCTGTCCACAACCTCAAACAGTCACACTCCAAACTCCACTATGGCCAAGACCAAAGAGCTGTCAAAGGACACCAGAAACAAAATTGTAGACCTGCACCAGGCTGGGAAGACTGCATCTGCAATAGGTAAGCAGCTTGGTTTGAAGAAATCAACTGTGGGAGCAATTATTAGGAAATGGAAGACATACAAGACCACTGATAATCTCCCTCAATCTGGGGCTCCACGCAAGATCTCACCCCGTGGGGTCAAAATGATCACAAGAACGGTGAGCAAAAATCCCAGAACCACACGGGGGGACCTAGTGAATGACCTGCAGAGAGCTGGGACCAAAGTAACAAAGCCTACCATCAGTAACACACTACGCCGCCAGGGACTCAAATCCTGCAGTGCCAGACGTGTCCCCCTGCTTAAGCCAGTACATGTCCAGGCCCGTCTGAAGTTTGCTAGAGTGCATTTGGATGATCCAGAAGAGGATTGGGAGAATGTCATATGGTCAGATGAAACCAAAATATAACTTTTTGGTAAAAACTCAACTCGTCGTGTTTGGAGGACAAAGAATGCTGAGTTGCATCCAAAGAACACCATACCTACTGTGAAGCATGGGGGTGGAAACATCATGCTTTGGGGCTGTTTTTCTGCAAAGGGACCAGGACGACTGATCCGTGTAAAGGAAAGAATGAATGGGGCCATGTATCGTGAGATTTTGAGTGAAAACCTCCTTCCATCAGCAAGGGCATTGAAGATGAAACGTGGCTAGGTCTTTCAGCATGACAATGATCCCAAACACACCGCCCGGGCAACGAAGGAGTGGCTTCGTAAGAAGCATTTCAAGGTCCTGGAGTGGCCTAGCCAGTCTCCAGATCTCAACCCCATAGAAAATCTTTGGAGGGAGTTGAAAGTCTGTGTTGCCCAGCGACAGCCCCAAAACATCACTGCTCTAGAGGAGATCTGCATGGAGGAATGGGCCAAAATACCAGCAACAGTGTGTGAAAACCTTGTGAAGACTTACAGAAAACGTTTGACCTGTGTCATTGCCAACAAAGGGTATATAACAAAGTATTGAGAAACTTTTGTTATTGACCAAATACTTATTTTCCACCATAATTTGCAAATAAATTCATTAAAAATCCTACAATGTGATTTTCTGGAAAAAAAATTCTCATTTTGTCTGTCATAGTTGACATGTACCTATGATGAAAATTACAGGCCTCTCTCATCTTTTTAAGTGGGAGAACTTGCACAATTGGTGGCTGACTAAATACTTTTTTCCCCCACTGTATATATTTATATTCTGGACTCCGACATTGCTTGTCCTAATATTTCTTAATCCCACTCTTTTACTTTTAGGTTTGTGTGTATTGTTGTGTATTGTTGTGTACTGTTAGATATTACTGCACTGTTGGAGCTAGGAACACAAGCATTTTGCTACACCCGCAACACAATCTGCTAAATATGTGTATGTGACCAATATTTGATCTTCTCAACACCATATCAACACATCCATCCATCTACTGTATCTACAGGTAGCCAGATAAAACTGCCTGTGATAACATAAGACACTGCTAAAACCAGGAAAATAAATATTCTTCACACTGAGAAAACAGGAGCTTTAAGCTAGTGCAGTACACGTCAGATTGATAAGAGTAGAGAGGTGTCTCTCTCTGTGTTTCTCTGAAGAGGCAGAAGCTGACTGGCAGGCCACTAGCAGACTAGTTAAGAACTCCCACGTAGCTAATCTGCAGTCTGCTTTGCAGGCCTACAGGCCTATTACTGGTCAAAGTGCAGATTAACCTCCAGGCCTCAATCTGGCCCTTTGGCTGTCGAGGGGAGAGGACAGGTCTCAGAGGAGAACTCACTAACAACCCTGAACCACAACTTATACACTACAGGATCATGCACAGAGCATATATAACTCAACATAAAATGCACAGAATGTGATTCATTGACACCATTATATGTTCACACTGTCGTCACAACACTCTAGACAACTACTTTCACGTCACCTGGCTCTGTCCACCCACCCTACATTTCTGGAAAGAAACAATACAAACTATCCACCCTCTTGGGTCACCACATTAACATCTCCCCATCACTCTGCCTTCTTGGAGAGGTCTCATCATCAGACCATTCTTGATGACAGCTTTGCACACTCTTGGCATTCTCTCAACCAGCTTCATGAGGTAGTCACCTGGAATGCATTTCAATTAACAAGTGTGCCTTGTTAAAAGTTAATTTGTGGAATTTCTTTCCTTCTTAATGTGTTTTAGCCAATCAGTTGTGTTGTGACAAGGTAGGGGGTGTATACAGAAGATACCCCTATTTCGTAAAAGACCAAGTCCATATTATGGCAAGAACAGCTCAAATAAGCAAAGAGAAACGACAGTCCAGCATTACTTTAAGACATGCAGCTCAGTCAATACGGAAAATGTCAAGAACTTTGAAAGTTTCTTAAAGTGCAGTCGCAAAAACCATCAAGCGCTATGATGAAACTGGCTCTCATGAGGACTGCCACAGGAATGGAAGACCCAGAGTTACCTCTGCTGCAGAGGATAAGTTCATTAGAATTACCAGCCTCAGATATTGCAGCCCAAATAAATGCTTCAGAGTTCAAGTAACAGACACATCTCAACATCAACTGTTCAGAGGGGACTGTGTGAATCAGACCTTCATGGTCGAGTTGCTGCAAAGAAACCACTACTAAAGGACACCAATAATAAGAAGAGACCTGCTTGGGCCAAGAAACACGAGCAATGGACATTAGACCGGTGGAAATGTGTCCTTTGGTCTGGAGTCCAAATTGGAGATGTTTGGTTCCAACCGCCGTGTCTTTGTGAGACGCGGTGTGGGTGAACGGATGATCTCCGCATGTGTATTTCCCACCGTAAAGCATGGAGGAGGTGGTGTTATGGTGTGGGGGTGCTTTGCTGGTGACACTGTCTGCGATTTCTTTAGAATTCAAGGTACACTTAACCAGCATGGCTACCACAGCATGCTGCAGCGATACGCCATCCCATCTGGTTTGGGCTTAGTGGGACTATCATTTGTTTTTCAACAGGACAATGACCAAACACACCTCCAGGCTGTGTAAGGGCTATTTTACCAAGAAGGAGAGTGATGGAGTGCTTCATCAGATGACCTGGCCTCCACAATCCCCCGACCTCAACCTAATTGAGATGGTTTGGGATGAGTCGGACGGCAGAGTGAAGGAAAAGCAGCCAACAAGTGTTCAGCATATTTGGGAACTCCTTCAAGACTGTTGGAAAAGCATTCCAGGTGAAGCTGGTTGAGAGGATGCCAAGAGTGTGCAAAGCTGTCATCAAGGCAAAGGGTGGCTATTTGAAGAATCTCAAATATAAAATATGTTTTGGTTACTACATGATTCCATGTGTGTTATTTCATAGTTTTGATGTCTTCACTATTATTCTACAATGTAGAAAATAGTAAAAATAAAGGTGTGTCCAATCGGTACATCAAAAATCTAAACTGGAAAAAATTACAACATCCAGCAAAGACAAAATTGGACCACACTCATCAACTCCTTGCCGCTACCGATCAGCTGATCCCACCTTAGGGTTTCCTCTAACAATCAACTTGCTATTACTATTTATTTTGTATTTAATATATTATTACAACTTATTTTGAGCCAATATATTATATTTTTAATGATTTATTTACTTTTGTATCTAATCAGGTTGACAAAACCAAATAAGATTCACCCCCTAAAACAATATTTTCCCAATATACACTCCCCTACGTATTTATTTGGCCAGTGAAGCTAAAACGTTTAATTTGGCTCTGTACTCCAGCATTTTGGATTTGAGATTAAATGTTTTATATATGAGGTGACAGTACAGAACATCACCTTTTATTTGAGGGTATATTCATACATATCGGTTTGACTGTTTAGAAATGAATGCACTGTGTCTAGTCCCCCCATTTGAAAGTGTCATATGTATTTGGACAAATTCACTTATAGTGTGTTAAATTTAGTAAAAAGTTTAGTATTTGGTTCCATATTCCTAGCACTCAATTACTACATCAAGCCTGCGACTCTACAAACTTGTTTGATGCATTTTCAGTTTTTTTGGTTGTGCCCAATAGAAATGAAATGAAATGAATGGTAAATAATGTATTGTGTCATTTTGGAGACACTTTTATGGTAAATGAGAATATAATGTTTCTGAACATTTCTACATTGATGTGGATGCTACCATGATTACGGATAATCAAAACTGAATCGTGAATAATGATGAGTGAGAAAGTTACAGACGCACAAAGATCATGCTCCCAAAACATTTTGGGGCTATGATATTTATGCGTCTGACTTTATGTAATGACATAAGAGGGTTAAAAAATACAGGCTCTAATTGTAAATTTTGACACTGGTTACAGCAATGATGGCCACTAAACGTTTTTTGGCAGGAGAGAAGGTTTGGCTTGTGTTGATCAGTTGTATAATGCTGTTCCTTTAATGTGCATTTCGCTACATCTGCAATAACATCTGCTAAACACGTGTATGTGACCAATAACATTTGATTTGATGTTTGGATTAAATGAAAAGGGAGATCAAAGGTGAGCTCAAGCAAGAAACAAAGATTAAATAAAGCACTAGTTTTGTCATTATGCTGATGCCACCAAATCAATATTCCCAAGTTAAGAGGATCAAGTTCTTAACACTCATAGCAATGTAGTCAACAGCAACATCTTACTGAGCCAATAAAATGTTCAGTACTTTCCCCACCTAAAAAACAACATAATACACTTGACATTTGTAATGGTAGCACTTTGTGTACCAAACTCAAAAGACAGAGCACAGTAGAAACCAAAATAATGTATAGCCTTACCTCCAAAATTGGCCAGTCTCCCTAACCGGGTCACTGGTACCTTTCTCTCTCGTGCTCTTTCACTGAGCTACAAAAGAGAGAGAACAACAACACAATGGTAGACAACATACACACTCAGCACATCTCTGAGTCACAGGTAACAGTGAGATGAGATGTGTAGATGTACCATTTGTTTGTGTGGTTTCTCGTTCCTCTTGGCCTCCCTGGCCTTCTCCATGTCCTCAGCCGTGAGGCCTCCAACCCCCGAGCTGTCCTGGTGATAGGAGCGGTAGGAACGGATCTGTCCTGAGAACTGGCTGCTAGGGTCCTTGTAGCCCTCAAACAGCTTGGATTTTACTGAGACCTGGTCATTGTACTTCCCGCTGGTCACTCCGTCTGCGCTCTCCGTCCCCTCCGATGAGATGCCCCCCTCATCCCTGAACCCTGACCCCACGTGTTCCCCACTGTCCACGCTGCTCCCTTCTGCTCCAGAGAAGTCATACTTGCTGTCCATGTCTGCTGGGAAGTCATCAGACGCACTCTGCTGATGCTGACCACCAAACTCCTTTAACAGATACACAGAAGTGTAAGAGGTCAATGAGGTGCTGTGGTGTGGTTTCACTGGTATGCATAGGGCCAGAGTTATTCTTGACCATGTTTACTGACTAGGTAAAAACTCAGCCTGAGATATTTTTAGGTCATGTGGTCAAAGAAATATATACACACACACACACACATATACAGTTGAAGTCTAAAGTTTACATACACCTTAGCCAAATACATTTAAACTCAGTTTTTCACAATTCCTGACATTTAACCCTAGTAAAAATTCCCTGTCTTAGGTCAGTTAGGATAACCACTTTATTTTAAGAATGTGAAATGTCAGAATAATAGTAGAATGAATGATTTATTTCAGCTTTTATTTATTTCATCACATTCCCAGTGGGTCAGAAGTTTACATACACTCAATTAGTATTTGGTAGCATTGCCTTTAAATTGTTTAACTTGGGTCAAACGTTTTGGGTAGCCTTCCACAAGCTTCCCACAATAAGTTGGGTGAATTTTGGCCCATTCCTCCTGACAGAGCTGGTGTAACTGAGTCAGGTTTGTAGGCCTCCTTGCTTGCACACGCTTTTTCAGTTCTGCCCACACATTTCCTATAGGATTGAGGTCAGGGCTTTGTGATGGCCACTCCAATACCTTGACTTTGTTGTCCTTAAGCCATTTTGCCACAACTTTGGAAGAATGCTTGGGGTCATTGTCCATTTGGAAGACCCATTTGCGACCAAGCTTTAACTTCCTGACATGTTGCTACAATATATCCACATAACTTTCCTTCCTCATGATGCCATCTATTTTGTGAAGTGCACCAGTCCCTCCTGCTGCAAAGCACCCCCACAGCATGATGCTGCCACCCCCGTGCTTCACGGTTGGGATGGTGTTCAAGCATCCCCCTTTTTCCACCAAACATAACCATGGTCATTATGGCAAAACAGTTCTATTTTTGTTTCATCAGACCAGAGGACATTTCTCCAAAAAGTATGATCTTTGTCCCCATATGCAGTTGTAAACAGTAGTCTGGCTTTTTTATGGCGGTTTTGGAGCAGTGGCTTCTTCCTTGCTGAGCGGCCTTTCAGGTTATGTCGATATAGGACTCGTTTTACTGTGGATATACAGTAGATACTTTTGTACCCGTTTCCTCCAGCATCTTCACAAGGTCCTTTGCTGTTGTTCTGGGATTGATTTGCACTTTTCGCACCAAAGTATGAAAATCTTTGGAGGGAGTTGAAAGTCTGTGTTGCCCAGCGACAGCCCCAAAACATCACTGCTCTAGAGGAGATCTGCATGGAGGAATGGGCCAAAATACCAGCAACAGTGTGTGAAAACCTTGTGAAGACTTACAGAAAACGTTTGACCTGTGTCATTGCCAACAAAGGGTATATAACAAAGTATTAAGAAACTTTTGTTATTGACCAAATACTTATTTTCCACTGTAATTTGCAAATAAATTCATTAAAAATCCTACAATGTGATTTTCTGGATTTTATTTCCTCATTTTGTCTGTCATAGTTGACGTGTACCTATGATGAAAATTACAGGCCTCTCTCATCTTTTTAAGTTGGAGAACTTGCACAATTGGTGGCTGACTAAATACGTTTTTTTCCCCACTGTGTGTGTGTGTATATATATATATATATTACATTACACACACATAAGTGAGGGAAATAAGTATTTGACCCCTCTGCAAAACATGACTTAGTACTTGGTGGCAAAACCCTTGTTGGCAATCACAGAGGTCAGACGTTTTTTGTAGTTGGCCACCAGGTTTGCACACATCTCAGGAGGGATTTTGTTCCACTCCTCTTTGCAGATCTTCTCCAAGTCATTAAGGTTTCGAGGCTGACGTTTGGCAACTCAAACCTTCAGCTCCCTCCACATATTTTCTATGGCATTAAGGTCTGGAGACTGGCTAGGCCACTCCAGGACCTTAATGTGCTTCTTCTTAAGCCACTCCTTTGTTGCCTTGGCCGTGTGTTTTGGGTCATTGTCATGCTGGAATACCCATCCACGACCCATTTTCAATGACCTGGCTGAGGGAAGGAGGTTCTCACCCAAGATTTGACGGTACATGGCCCCGTCCATCGTCCCTTTGATGCAGTGAAGTTGTCCTGTCCCCTTAGCAGAAAAACACCCCCAAAGCATAATGTTTCCACCTCCATGTTTGACGTGGGGGTGGTGTTCTTGGGGTCATAGGCAGCATTCCTCCTCCTCCAAATACGGCGAGTTGAGTTGATGCCAAAGAGCTCGATTTTGGTCTCATCTGACCACAAAACGTTTACCCAGTTCTCCTCTGAATCATTCAGATGTTCATTGGCACACTTCAGACGGGCCTGTATATGTGCTTTCTTGAGCAGGGGGACCTTGCGGGCGCTGCAGGATTTCAGTCCTTCACGGCATAGTGTGTTACCAATTGTTTTCTTGGTGACTATGGTCCCAGCTGCCTTGAGATCATTGACAAGATCCTCCCGTGTAGTTCTGGGCTGATTCCGTTCTCATGATCATTGCAACTCCATGAGGTGAGCTCTTGCATGGAGCCCCAGGCCGAGGGAGATTGACAGTTCTTTTGTGTTTCTTCCATTTGCGAATAATCGCACCAACTGTTGTCACCTTCTCACAAAGCTGCCTGGCGATGGTCTTGTAGCCCATTCCAACCTTGTGTAGGTCTATAATCTTGGAGAGCTCTTTGGTCTTGGCCATGGTGGAGAGTTTGGAATCTGATTGATTGCTTCTGTGGACAGGTGTCTTTTATACAGGCAAAAAGCAGAGATTAGGAGCACTCCCTTTAAAGACACCTGGGAGCCAGAAATCATTCTGATTGAGGGTCAAATACTTATTTCCCTCATTAAAATGCAAATCAATTTATAACATTTTTGACATGCGTTTTTCTGGATTTTTTTGTTGTTATTCTGTCTCTCACTGTTCAAATAAACCTACCATTAAAATTATAGACTGATCATTTCTTTGTCAGTGGGCAAACGTACAAAATCAGCAGGGGATCAAATACTTTTTCCCCCTCACTGTATGTATGTATACACACACACACACACACACACACACACACACACACACACACACACACAACCGTTCAAAAGTTTGGGGTCAGTTAGAAATGTCCTTGTTTTTAAAGAAAAGCCATTTTTGTCCATTAAAATAACTATTTAATGAAGCTGCCAGTTTAGGACCTGTGAGGCGTCTGTTTCTCAAACTCTAATGTATTTGTCCTCTTGCTCAGTTGTGCACCGGGGCCTCCCACTCCTCTTTCTATTCTGGTTAGAGCCAGTTTGCGCTGTTCTGTGAAGGGAGTAGTACACAGCGCTGTACGAGATCTTCAGTTTCTTGGCAATTTCTCGCATGGAATAGCCTTCATTTCTCAGAACAAGAATAGACTGACGAGTTTCAGAAGAAAGTTCTTTGTTTCTGGCTATTTTGAGCCTGTAATCGAACCCACAATTGCTGATGTTCCAGATACTCAGCTAGTCTCAAGAAGGCCAGTTTTATTGCTTCTTTAAATCAGCTCAACAGTTTTCAGCTGTGCTAACATAATTGCAAAAGGGTTTTCTAATGATCAATTAGCCTTTTAAAATGATCAACTTGGATTAGCAAACACAACGTGCCATTGGAACACAGGACTGATGGTTGCTGATAATGGAGCTCTGTACGCCTATGTAGATATTCCATTTTTTTTTTTATCAGCTGTTTCCAGCTACAATAGCCATTTACAACATTAACAATGTCTACACTGTATTTCTGATCAATTTGATGTTATTTTAAATGGACAAAAAAAAAAGCTTTTCTTTCAAAGACAAGAACATTTCTAAGTGACCCCAAACTTTTGAACGGTAGTGTATATATACCCTCAGTAAGGGCCACCTTTCTGATCTCCTCAAGTCAAACTGTATTTACAGCCACAGCATGTTTTGCATGGTTCTCTATTGTACTTTTCCAATGCTGTGAAAACAAATAACTCAGCCATGATAATATTCCAAAGCTCTATGAATCAACCTTTTGTTGCGCTCACTCTAAATTAGATAAGGCACAAAGGAAGGCTGGAAGCTATTTGACACTGAAGCTCTGTCATCCATTTTAGATCTGGCTACTGGAGGTGGTGTTGTCTGACAATGACAAATACAGAATCTTTGTAACAATCTCGGTTGTCCACAATCCCCATAGAAGAGCCCCATTCATCTCCTGCTGTGCCCACCTGCATCTTCTGCATGGCTACTCCCAGGCTCTGCTCTGCAGTCATCTGCATGCTCTGGGCCATGGCCTGGGCTCCTCCATTACGCAGGGTGTTGGCCTGAGTCTCCATGATGGACTGGCTCAGCTTGGCCAAGCCACGCATCACCAACATCATGTCGCCTGCCATGATGGGTCTCCCTCACACCTAGAAAAGAGACGTGGAAACATTTATATATTTAGTTTAGGTTGGAGTTACATAACAAAGTCGACAGTATGTACATACAACATAGTCTGAGGTTAAATGTACTGAATGTTGTCGTGCTGAAAGTGTTCTTGTATAATCAAAAGACAAACCTTCATAACAGTAAATGTCAATTCAATAGTGAATATTACAGTGTGACAAAGGGAAAGGAGATTACTCATACTGGTCGAATAAAAATTGTGTACAGTCACCAATGGCCTATCGGAGAACGTGAAAGTCACACCACTATAGGCCATTGGCTGAGGTTTAAGTATCACAGGCTAATAGCCAGCTATCCAGTCAGCACTGCTGTCAGTCAACAACTAGAGAGTGCCTGGTCGGGCAGGCAGCAAAACACAGCTGTTATCAAGGCTCACCACAGCCAAGACAACCTTGCAAAGGTTAAACATGTTTTCACTCAGACAAGGGGACAAACCATTAAGTAACGACTTCCAACACCAGGGCTATACTGAGAATAACAGGTGTTACGTTACAACAAACATGAGCATGTTTCTGCTTTACCAAACTTGATTTACAGTAAGATTCTCTGGAAGGAAACGTGAACGCTTCGCATGGGAAGTACCATTGCCTGGCTCTCAGTGCCGGACCTTAATAGTATCCACTGGTGGTCAGTTATTTTGAGCTATAAATGTAGAGTCTTACTCACAAGTTTCTTCCAGCAGTGAGTGAAATAGAGAAAGGCCACTGAAAAGTGGAATATTTGCCTTTTCAAATCTCATTGCTGTAAATTACATAACTGGGCTGGTCTGTCTATCTCAATATCAAATCATTTCTGGGTAACAATTAAGTACCTTAGTGATTAAAAAAAAAACAACATATTTTTGTATTGAAAACAATAGCTTCTTAGTGTAACAGGGTTGGTTATGTTTCCACTTGACACTGCAGAAATAAGTATTCAATGTTTATGTATTCCCATTGGTTGGTTGAAGTTACATACAGTGCATTCGGAAAGTATTCAGACCCCTTCACCTTTTCCACATTGTTACGTTACATCCTTATTCTAAAATGGATTTAAAACAAATATAATCCTCAATCTACACACAATACCCCATAATAACAAAGCAAAAACAGGGTTTTAGACATTTTTGCAAATTTATAAAAAATTAAAAACAGAAATACATTATTTACATAAGTATTCAGACCCTTTGCTATGAGACTCTAAATTGAGCTCAGGTGCATCCTGTTTCCATTGGTCATCCTTGAGATATTTCTACAACTTGGAGTCCACCGGTGGTAAATTAAATTGAGTGGACATGATTTGGAAAGGCACACACCTGTCTATATAAGGTCCCACAGTTGACAGCGCATGTCAGAGCAAAAACCAAGCCATGAGATCGAAGGAATTGTCCGTAGAGCTCCAAGACAGGATTGTGTCGAGGCACAGATCTGGGAAAGGGCACCAAAACATTTCTGCAGCATTGAAGGTCCACAAGAACACAGTGGCCTCCAGCATTCTTAAATGGAAGAAGTTTGGAACCACCAAGACTCTTCCTAGAACTGGCCCCCCGACCAAACTGAGCAATCGAGGGAGAAGGGCCTTGGTCAGGGAGGTGACCAAGAACCCGATAGTCACTCTGACAGAGCTCCAGAGTTCCTCTGTGGAGATGGGAGAACCTTCCAGAAGGACAACCATCTCCGCAGCACTCCACCAAATCAGGCCTTTATGGTAGAGCGGCCAGATGGAAGCCAATCCTCAGTAAAAGGCACATGACAGTCCACTTGGAGTTTGCCAAAAGACACCTAAAGGACTCTCATACCATGAGAAACAAGATTCTCTGGTCTGATGAAACCAATCTTGAACTCTTTGGCCTGAATGCCAAGCGTCACTTCAGGAGAAAACCAGGCACCGCTCATCACCTGGCCAACACCATCCCTATGGTGAAGCATGGAGGTGGCAGCATCATGCTGTGGGGATGTTTTTCAGCAGCAGGGACTGAGAGACTAGTCAGGATCGAGGGAAAGATTAACGGAGCAAAGTACAGAGAGATCCTTGATGAAAACCTGCTCCAGAGCACACAGCCAAAACAACACAGGAGTGGCTTCGGGACAAGTCTCAATGTCCTTGAGTGGCCCAGCCAGAGCCCGGACTTGAACCTGATCGAACATCTCTGGAGATCCTTGGAAAAAAGCTGTGCAGCGACGCTGCCCATCTGACAGAGTTTGAGAGGATCTGCAGAGAAGAATGGGAGAAACTCCCCTAATACAGGTGTGCCAAGCTTGTAGCGTCATACCCAAGAAGACTCAAGGCTGTAATCGCTGCCAAAGGTGCTTCAAGAAAGTACTAAGTAAAGGGTCTGAATACTTATGTAAATGTGATATTTCAGATTATTTTTAATACATTTGCAAAAAATTCTAAAAAGCTGTTTTTGCTTTGTCATTATGGGGTTTTGTGTGTAGATTGCTGAAGGAAAAAAAACAATTTAATCCATTTTAGATAAGGCTGTAACGTAACAAAATGTGGAGAAAGTGAAGAGGTCTGAATACTTTCCGAATGCACTGAATCATTAAGGTGTTATGCCATTGGTAATGCTTACAGATAGGGGGAGATCACACATGTAAAAACTCTTCCCAGACTGATATTGACATGCAAGCGGTAGGTCACGCTCTGAAATACTGTTCTCTATTTTCATATTTACAATGTGTACGAGTTCACTATCTACATGTCCTGATGTGTGTATGTATGTATGTATATACACATTTCTCCGATTTTTTTATTTCAGCTCATGAAACATGGGACTAACACTTTACATGCATTAGCTCTCTGCTAATTCACAGTTATTTCCATACTAACAGACAAAAAACAAATCTACAGCCATCAACATACTATTGTCCTGCACATCTTTTCTCCCCAAGTTCGCAATATCCAATTGGTAGTTACAGTCTTGTCTCATTGCTGCAACTCACCTACAGACTCGGGAGAGGCGAAGGTCGAGAGCCATGCGTCCTCCGAAACACGACCCTGCCATGCCACACTTCTTGACACGACCCTGCCATGCCACACTTCTTGACACACTGCTCACTTAACCCGGAAGCCAGCTGCACCAATGTCCAACTGACGACCGAAGTCAGCTTGCAAGCGCCCGGCCTGCCACAAGGAGTCGCTAGAGCACAATGGGACAAGGAAATCCCGGCCGGCCAAACCCTCCCCTAACCCGGACGACACTGGGCCAATTGTGCGCAGCCTCATGGGTCTCCCAGCCTGGGATCGAACCCGGGGCTATAGTGACGCCTCAAGCACTGCGATGCAGTGCCTTAGAACGCTGCGCCACTCGGGAGGCCTTGTCCTGCACATCTTTTCTCCCCAAGTTCGCAATATCCAATTGGTAGTTACAGTCTTGTCTCATTGCTGCAACTCACCTACAGACTCGGGAGAGGCGAAGGTCGAGAGCCATGCGTCCTCCGAAACACGACCCTGCCATGCCACACTTCTTGACACGACCCTGCCATGCCACACTTCTTGACACACTGCTCACTTAACCCGGAAGCCAGCTGCACCAATGTCCAACTGACGACCGAAGTCAGCTTGCAAGCGCCCGGCCTGCCACAAGGAGTCGCTAGAGCACAATGGGACAAGGAAATCCCGGCCGGCCAAACCCTCCCCTAACCCGGACGACACTGGGCCAATTGTGCGCAGCCTCATGGGTCTCCCAGCCTGGGATCGAACCCGGGGCTATAGTGACGCCTCAAGCACTGCGATGCAGTGCCTTAGAACGCTGCGCCACTCGGGAGGCCTTGTCCTGCACATCTAATGTGCTTCCTTGTGTCTATCATCAGAGTAAACTACCAATCAACTGGGCTCACTGGCTGGACAGTCCTTTATTTAAAAACACAATGCGAGAGAGTTACGAAGTACGATAACATCTGTTACATTAGTAAAGAGCAATTTCTCAAGCAATAATTTTGCTAGGACTGTCTGGGAGTGGTCAGAGTGTGGAGGGGAAAACTGAAAACTAGCTGTTATTGGCAGAGAGGTTTGGAACTCTTTCTTATTGGTCTATTAACTAATTTACACCAGGCAGGCCAAAACTCCATCCCACCAAAACCGGCTGAAATTTGAGGCGGTCTATTCAAAACAGCTCTTACACTAACAGGGCATTATAATCATTTCACAATATTATTCCAACCTCAGTGCGGAAATATATACAAAACACAGGAAAATCATGTTTTTGACTGCACTGGGCCTTTTATCAAACACTTTTAGCAGTAAATACTTTCACCAGGTAGGCTAATTTCAGACATTGATCCATTATTGATCAATTAAATGGGTCTAAAATGCAAGGCCGAACTGGGACACTCAGTCCAGTCATGTTCTGCAATTTCTCTGGCTGGTGATAAGGAGGCAGTGGACACTGAGTGATGGCAGAATCACAGGCTTTAGTGAACAGAGGAGTTAGGCTAGTCAAAGGGAGGATTGTTTGTGCTTAGTGACAGCTTGGCCATCCTGGGACTCAGAGGTCTTTAGAATTGGCCTGTGTCCTGAGGTAGCTGGGAACCAAGCAGGCTGCTTACTCACTGTGAAGAAACAACAAGGTCCCCTTTAAAATATATCATGACTAAACGTTAGTAATGGCATGTATGATTATTCATAGCTGGTGAAGAATGCAAAACACCAAGGAATGATCTCCTGCTTATATCTTTCTTCCCAGATACCATTTATGGGTCTGATATTCTCTTTACAAATCAGGGACCATAGAAATCAGTCTGTAATGTTACAGAGGTATGGATCAAATGGTTCTTCATATGATAGAGATTATAACAAAATGGCTATCTACAGTGCATTCACAAAGTATTGACTTATTCCACATTATGTTGTGCTACAGCTTGAATTCAAAATGGATGAAATATATTTACACACAAGACCCCATAATGTCAAAGTAAGTTTTTTTGTTGAAATTTTAGCAAAATGTATTGAATTGAAATACAGA